GCATCTTTTGCATCTATAGTGATGTATCCTTGCTTTATAAAATCAACAGTTAACTAGAGTTTTGTAAATAATCAGAACTTATTGTCTTCAAGCCAGACTAAATTTGAAATTCAGCAATAATTCATCTACTTGTTTGAGGATTGCTTCCATGTTTTTAAGTATAAATCTAGCGCTTAAGAGTTGTGATTCATTGTTTAACATTTTCATGTAATAAGATCACCAATTTCGATGGTTGGGTCCCAATCAGTGCTTCCTTTATATCATCAAAATAATTAACGATGCTATTCAATGTTAAAGGTGTTGATTCCAGCAGAAACCATTCATAAAAATATTTGTGGATTTCATGCATATTGAGATATTACGAATGATTTCAAGCAATCAATGTTGTTGGAACAATGTTAGTAAAAACTGAATATCGAAAATAAACTCTTTAGAGTCTTCCGAGTCTTTCAATGAATTTATTGAGTTGATTCAAGTTGATTTTATGGATTAATTAATTTATAACTGTCAGTGTCAACTAATTTGACGAATTTGAAAAAGGATTGAAATTCATGTCAATCACTGGCTCACCCAGGGTTATCCTATTAATCAACATCATTTCCTTATTGCTATTATTATCACAAAATGTGAGATTAACAAGAAAAAGGTGTCGTACGATGAAGGGAATGCAAAAACGAAAACAATTTACTGAATTGAAATTGAGTGAAACTCTGTATCAAAGTGAAATTAACATATTATATGTACATGATAATTAACTGCATGAATAATATGAAGCTTGAAGGGAAAGAAAAAATTGCCAATCAAATATGATGACATTTTAAAAGAGAAACAAAATAAGAGCAAAGAAAGGTTATCGAATGATCAAGTTAATCTGAAAAAATGGCCAAGAAGATGAAGATGAAAATTGATTTGGAAGAGAGACAAAAATGAACGAGACAGATTTTAATGAGATTTTGGTGAAGAAAAGGTTAACAACAAATGTTGGGTTATGATGAAAAGATTTTTTTGGGAATCAAATGGTAAGTTGCTCACAATTGATGACAGTTTTCATGTCAACGGGTTCTTCATTTTGAAGGGATGCAAGAACAAGATGAAGATGCTGTTTCCCATATCATCATCATTCTCATCATCTTTACACTAATTCTTAACACTCAATCATTTGACAATTTTTTGCTTTCTTTAACACAAAAATAACATCAGCATCTCAAAGTCGAAAAAAATGATTCTCTTTTTTAATATTAAAAGAACTTTGACTTTTATTTCAATAACATTCACAATAGCTTACAACATTCAACTGCAGCATGTAACATGAAAATTGTTTAGCATTTTTCGTGGATTTGATGGACAACATTGATAGCAATTGGCTTTTTTGTTGTCAACATTTTCATCTCTTATTGTTCAATGTGAACAGTTTTGTTGACTCTAGTAGATGGTGTTAAACAAAGAATCAGCTGAATGAATCACCATAATAATAGAAGACTTTGATATAAAATGATTAATAATAGCTTATATTATAAAAGGCATAACAATAAACCTAATCGTAATGAAAAGAAGATAAAACTTTTTTTGTGTTATAAAGGAATTAGAATGACAATAATTTGCACTTTTTTTCGTTTCCATCATCTTTAATGTCTCTGATTATATTAACCATGCAAACGTGATTACAGTTAATTGCAAGGTGAAAATCAAACTCAAAGTAGACTTATAAACTTTCTCATTAACTATACTGATGAACGTTTACACTTTAATAAGCTCAATAACTCAATAAGCGAAAGGTTATTAGTGAAAAACACTGAAAAACAATCAAACTGAAATCCTAATCGTTCAAGTTAACCAAGTGTGAGTTTAATTTCACCTGCAAGCAATTGATTAGTTGAGTTGTTGTAATCAATTAAATTTACTTTTATAAGTTTGCCTTTAGCTATTAAATTGTTTGTTTGTTTGCCCTTTATTAAGCTCGAATAGTCGCAATACTATTACAAACATAATCAACTAGCTGAATGTAAACAGCAACCATTAAAAGACTGAACATTAGATTGTTATATCATGTCATTCGTTTCTCCAGTCAGATGTACATCCATTCAGATCCATAATCCATCTTCATCTCTGAATTTATTGATCATTTTTCATCTTTTTCAGAACTGATACAAGTCAAGTATCAATTTTATCAGTAACTTGACAGCAATAGGTTTTAGTTTAAGAAGTTTTTTCTCTTTTCTATTATCTTGTCAATTATATTGTCTTGAAAGTTATTGATTTCAAGTGAGAAATAGTGCAAAATATCGAGTCACCATCAAATGTTAAATGTTATCTGGCTTAAAGTGATAAAAACTTCAGTTCAATTCCTGAAATGAGCCTCAGGTTCTTCTAGACATTTTCATCTTTAAGTGCTAAAAAACTATGGAGAGGATTGTTTATTGATTTGAATGTTTGGTCAGTTTATGTGCCCATCAATCAAATTTATTTGATATTATAATAGAAGATCAAAGTTCAATTCGAGGCATTAAATGTATCAAGAACAATGTATTAAACTTGAAAAATGTTCATTTGTTTGTTCCCTTCAAAAAACGGAATCACCTTTAGTCATGTTTAACTTTTATCGAAATGTTTCTATTGACAGATCTTTATTATCAGATCAATACTATGAAATAGCAATAATTTGAGTTATTACGAGTGATTATCAGAACAGAAAATCAGGTTAACATAATATTATCACATTACAATTGCAATGTTATTTCTCTACTTCCTAACCTAATATTAACCTAATAGATTCTAATAGATTCTGAATGAGTTTGCTTGGAACCAGGAAAAACCAAATTGATGGCGATCATACAAAAAAGGAAACAAAAGTATGTAAAAATGTATACAATACCAACAACATAATCTGGTTTCTTCAGTAACCAAAGTGAACTCATTCAACTCAAATGTTATTGTTTAAGGTTTCCTCAATCCGTAAACAGATGAACAATTCAGATAGAATCAAAGGACCATTTAAACACATTGATCAATTTACCTTTTATTGATTTTACGAAACTTTTCGAGTTTTTACTAGTATATTAATTAGGAGACTTTCAAATCTATAATTTCTTCATAAAGAACTAATGAACTTATCGTTGCAAGTTAAATGACACTTGAATAAAACAATCAAAAAAAGTAAACAGATATTCGATTTTTAATAACCATTATTGCTGACAGTTTTCGTTGAATTTACATTGAAATCGAGCAAATTGACCTTTAATGGGTTACTGACAATGTAGTTATACTCTAATTACTTGTTCTAACAGCGTTAAAGCAACCTTTTAATAGTTAAACTGCAACTAACGTGAACAAGCCTGCATGTAAATGAATTTGAGGACGAAATCTGTGTATTCCATTAAAAAAACATTAGCAACTTCGAACTTACTGCAGACTTTTACGAGGAACCTTTCACATTATTTTTACATTTGCACCTAACCTAACCACGAATGAATTAGAGATAAAAAGCACGTTCAATTTGGAAGAGCGAATAAGCTTTTTCTAAATATTGTTCTAACTCAAGTTCCTTTCATGAATTATTGCCAAAATACATGATTAACATGACTCTTGTAGATTTTAAGATTGAACTTTTTCTCAGCTAACGATTGACAAATTGTTTTGTTTGGCCATAAACTTGTAAAAATACTTTTAACAAGATTATCAATTAACATTAACAAGTAATATTTGTATTACAACAATCAATCAAATTGCTGTCGCTTTTCATTTGAAACTAGTCAAACTTAAAGTCAATTAATTTAATGCGCTAAATCATCAAATTGTTATTTTTCTTTATTGGACAATTTGTATAACATTTATGCTAATTGTTTGTGAATTGATTAAAGTTGAAATTCAATGTTGAATATGGAATTATGTGACACTGATAATTAACATTTTCCTTGACAAAATGAAGAGGGCAATTTAGTTATGTTTGACAACACAATTAAGGATTATTTTGATTGGAATCAATTTTGACGTAAAATTTAATATTTTTTTAATTATTCCTCCAGTAAACCCAAGTATAGCAGAAATTCATTCATTTTGGTGCAAAACTGTGCATAATAAATCAGTGAAGCAAAAAAATTTAATTTATAATTTACTCTCGATCAAACTTGTCAAAATAATCATTTGATACAAAATTTGTTTAATAAACAACTTAATTTCGGCATAAATTGCGGGTTTACCTTAAATTGCTTCAGCTGTTGACTTTAGTCGCAACTCCAAGATGATGAGAAGCATCTCTCAGATTAAAACAATTAATGTTCATGATTGATGATTAGGTTGTTGCAGAAAGATAATCAATAATTAAAAGTGAAATGAGTTACCATTTTTTGCGTGATCGCGTTTCTTTATTTTCATCAAAACAAATGTTAATAACGATAATGTAATACTAAAGAGTTATTGACATTAAGTAGTAATAAATATTAGATTGTTTTTGTCTTGAACCACAATTGAATCAAATTACAATCTTGTCTAATTACGATCCTAAACCTGAAAACTTTCAAGAGAACTTAATGTTGCAATTCAATTTCAATGTGAGTCGAGTTACTTGTTGAAATAAATGATGATAAACCGTTAATTAGATAGAAAGCAGGATAAACAAGATTTAATTTCGCGATTGATGAAGCAAATAAATGTCCAAAAAGTGTTCATTGAGTCGGACATTTGAGTCCTTTAATGATTATCAATTGTGAAAAGGCAATGAAGTAATGAGAAAATAACGAGAAGAAGAGACATGTTTATCCTCATCTTCATCATCAAATTGTTACATGTTTATCCAAATTGAAATAAATAATGCGATTCAATTGCATTATTCAAGATTTATCTTGACGATTAGAAAGATTAAAAGAGTAAAATGCAAATTAGGGCTTAATTGCATTTGTACATTGAACTTGAGAATGATAAATTGTCGACTCAGAATGTACATAAAACATTGGCTAATGAGTTAATTAATAAAAAGAATTTCATTTTCTTTTCAATTTTGACAGGTAAAGCTGTTCCTTTCGTTGAAATGGTAGTTGCTCATGGATCCATTTTAACGATGATGGCCATTAGTTTTGAGCGTTATTATGCCATTTGCAAGCCATTAAAAGCCGGTTACAAATGCACTCGATTAAGAGCAGTGATAATTATCTTGTCAGTTTGGGCAATCGCAATCATCTCAACAATTCCGATTCTTTGGATAGCTGAATTGTCTCATGAAACGTACATTGATGGAAGTTTGGTTCCTGTCTGTTTGACCCAAGCCAACAAATTGTGGCACAAATTATACTTCATTGGTACCATGATTGCTTTCTTTTGGTCCCCTTTACTTATACTGATCATCATTTATATCGTGATAACGAAAAGACTTTTTCTCAACGATGAAAATATCCGAACCTCAACCAACCATGGGAATCATGAATGTGGTCAAATGAGAGCGCGAAGACAAGTTGTTTATATGTTGGCCACAGTAATTGCGTGTTTCTTCATCTGTCTTCTTCCATTCAGATTATTCACCTTATGGTTGCTTCTGTCTTCCACAGATCAGGTCAAGTCACTCGGAATGGAATTATATTACACGACGTTATATTTTTGTAGGATCATGTTATATCTCAATTCAGCATTGAACCCCATTCTGTACAATTTAATTTCATCCAAGTTTCGTGATGCATTCCTTGCAGCAGTTTGTTGTCAAAAAACAAAACGATTGCTTCTCAGACAGAATACATTTAATACAACAACAAGTTCCATGTTGATGAGTTCACTCAAGAATGCTCAATCACCAATGTTGAATAATCGAAAAGAGCAAAATATTAAAGAAAAGACAAAGAAAGTGGAACCCGATTTATTGGTCAAAGACTGTCCAATTGACTTAATTTTTCAAAATTTGAAAAAGTCTTCTGCTGAAAGTTATGTATAATGAAAAGTTATGTTTCAAATGTTTAAATAGCATCAAAAATAAAATATCATTCATGACAACATTTGGTGACGAGTTTTCAGTATTTCAATTGCATCTCGAGCAAGAAATTACATACAGTAGTCATTAGACTTAAGTTAACAAAAGCCGATATTTTTTTCATACACTGGTAGCTGCACTTAACGCAACAAATTGGGGTTTCACTTAACGCAATTTTTAGGTGTCGCCATCTTTGGTATTTTATTGTTTTAGAGACTTTAATATGTAATTAATGCTCGACCTTGAAGATAATTGTATGATCTAATAGATGGCGACTATGGTAAAAATTGACCCATTTGTTGCGTTAACTGCAGCTACCAGTGTAGTCGCCATCTAACAAGAAATAAAAGTACCTTTAAGATCGAATTTAATTTTGTCCATTTCTCTATTGTCTAGTTTCTCTGAAAACTAATTAGAACCGAGATGGCGACACCTGAAAATTAACTTAACTCTGGCACTATTTTGTTAACTTAAGTCTAATGACTACTGTATTATCATAGTTCGTTGAGATGAGGCAAGTCAATGGGATTTTATGCAGAATCTATTATATCTCAATACACACAATATATTAATATTAATATTAATATACAGTCAAAGCATCAAATTTTTGCGCAAAAATGATGAACCAAAAGGGTTCTAAAGAAATTTATTAGACAGCCTGCTATCCATTATTAAACTACATGTCCAAAAAGTAGTCAAAGGTTAATCAGAATTCAGGTTACTGAGAAATTCACGTTGCTAAAGGGTGGGGGAAATGCATCTCTTACAATTAAAGGGTGAAAAACGTTTTTGGTTCAGTTTGATGGTTTATTATTAAATTGATTAGCTTTTTCTCATCACAATTTGAGCATCTTCAATATCAATCGAATTTATCGTACAAGGGAAGTTACCCAAGTGTCACTCACCGTTCGATGTATCATTATTATTTACCATAATTAAATCCCCATACTTTCACCTACTTGGCTACACCTTCTTACAATGTTAGACAATTTAACCGATTTTTAATAAAAGTGCGAAAATTTTAAACCCAAATATCTTGGGAAGCCTTCAACTCGCAGTAGGAACCCAAAAGTTTATTCATCTACACCCTTAGCTCTATCGAAATAGACATTGAACAAAATCGGTGAATGACACTTGGGTAACTTGCCTTGTCAGTGCAAAGAAATTTGCGATCAGACATGATCGCAGCAGCCTCTAGTTAAATTAAATCGAAAGATCCTTAAATCAACGAACAATTGCTATTTCAGAGGTTACACCTTGATTCGATTTTTAATTAATGCTTGAAAGTATTTTGCCCGCTCTGTCCCAAAATGTTTCTCTAAATGAAGAGACCTCGAATCTTTAGACGAGAGGACACCGCACCAATAGCACATTCAACTTACAGTTCTGAATAGAATTTTGTGCATTTTTATTTTGGGATTTGAGCAATCAATTGTTTAAACTAGATTATTTTTTTCTAATAAAATCGTGAATAAGATTTGAAATACAAACTTTCATTCACTTCATTTCATATGCAACAACCTAATACCATTTGAAGAATATGAATACATACATGAATGTAGTTATAAGAATTTTTTGTGATAATAACCATGGATTGATTTTATATTTGAATCACTCTTGCTCGGGAATCGGACATCATAGCAAATTAAGCATTATACAAGGACAATAGGATTTATGATAAAAATTTTAAAAATAATGAATTGTCGGGCAATTATGAAAAGCTTTATTTCCAAAGATTCGCCTTAGTTAGCATAACCAGTAACTCTGGTTAGTCCCTCTCTGGCTACAAGTAATTAGTGGCTCTTTTCAATCTCTCTCATCCCTGATATTAGGACTTTTACCATCACAAGCGACTATTTTTACATTATCGACTTTGATCAGTTCTTGGGCTTCTCTAAATTCAACATCTTTCAGCACTAAGGTCCATACATTGTCACAAAATCGATATGTCCTGAGATGACCAGCCTAAAAAGAATCAACAGATATCATTAGCTTTACTGCACGTGGGTATTAAGAATATATAGTCTAATATCTAATATTACCTTAAAAGTTAACCTTGTTTTAACTTTACTAGCCAAAGCAACATTGATTGATTTGTCAAATTGAACCAAAATCTTAAGAGCCAACTGTGGGGTTATCTGATTGCATTGAACAAACTCATCCAGACTCTCTTGCAGAGTGTGTCCTAAAGTGGTGTTACGATAAAGTTGATAGCTCATCTCACTAATTACAACGAAAAAATATCACAAAGAACAAGTTAATAACAAAAATAGTAAGGAAAGGTAAGAGAGAAATGAAGACTTGAGTTACAAATAGAAAAATAATTTTGTGTTGATACAAGAAAACAAATCAGCTTTTAAACAGAGTGAAGTATCAGATGTAGATGTAGAATACCTTGGATTAGCTTATTTACACTATTCACCGGGCAGCTTATTTTCATGATTTTCAATCTTTCTTGATAAACATAATTCAAGCTAAATTATTTTTTAAACTTATTTCTCGAGTTTTTTTAACGATTCTATCCGTAAAAATGAACGTTTGTTAATATTAAATAATCAAAAAATTTAAATTTTATTCAACTTGATTTAGGGACTGTTGATAAATTGCTTCTCATTATAAGCGGTTAGTGCAAATAACAATGCAGGTTATTTATCCAGCAATTTCAGTCAAGAAGTCGATTTTAAGGTTTTGGTTCAATTTTAAATTTTATCGCATAAGCAATCAGTCTATGATAAATACAATTCTATATCAAAACTACGAAAATTAAGTCTAACTTGAAAGAAATGGCTCAACTTCCATTTTCTAGATCATTTTTGTTCACACCGATAGCAGCATTGAGATCTTCTTCACTATCATCATCTCTTTTGGGATATAAATTTGGATAATTAGACATACAATCTTGTAAAACTGCGAATTTCTCTACACATTCCATTCCTCGATTCTCTGATTCACTTTGCCGAAAACAGGAAAAGGCTTCACGAAATTGCCATGCACATGGACCAGACGCCATTCCTCCGATACAAGGGCAGTTCCAGTTAATTTCACCATTTGGTAGGATTAAGCCAGGCTCACGATCTTCAGGTTTTGGTTCAGGAAGTTTTATATTGCTTTTTTGAGATAATTCTTCGGGAGTAGAAATAATAATACGATCTTTACCTATTTGTTTACAGTAGGACATGTTTAATATTAAGTATCAAATTTAACAAGAAAAAGATCAAACAGAAATTGAAATCAAAATTAGAAAAGCATGAGCAAATAATTTACTGGAAATCCCACAAATTTTGAGAGAAATCTCAATAGATCGATAACAAGAATCGATTTATTTGTTAATCTGTATTTTTTAAATTATCAAATTCCAACTTTCAAATAATATTCTGATTAATTGATAATAATTTTTGCATTTTGTGTGTATTTCTTTAATGTTTGATATAACTTATCCGATTATTACATGATTGTATAAGCTCTTGAACATGAAATAGGATTTAACAATTCGCAATTATTAGCTCATCCCCGATGCATTCTCGTGTTTACAAATGATTTTTACATATGATTTTTACATTGTTTAAATCTAAGTTATTTAATTAATTAAAATCATTTCTTATGAAGTTTTTATGATTTTTGTATTGTTCGTCTAAACTTTTGATTTCTGTTAAAATGCATTTAGTCAGATTGATGAAACAAATGCCTGATCTTTGCAGGTTTAATATAGGGTTTTCGAGATTTTCAACTCAATCATCTGATAACAATTATGCTGAATATGAAAGGAGAAAATTTGCCCGAAGATTTGGTAACATTGTTCGACATCATGATAAAGGTAAATCCCTCTTTTAATTTATTTGTTTTGATATTTTGATTATTCAATAATTAGTGTTATTTCTTTCTATCAGGTATGTTACCTAGATTGGGCAGAAAAGAAGCTGGATTAAAAAGTATTCCTGTTAAACCAAAGACAAATCCATGGCATCCGAGAAATGCTATGTTTGGACAAAATGATTATATTGACATTTTAGGTTCTGGTAACACTCATCCGGCTAGTTTACTCAAGCATATTCCTTATTGGATTCGAGGCTGGCGTGGACATGAAATGGAAATGCTGCAAAGGCAAGCTGCTGCTGAACCGACTATGGCAACTTCTCGCCCTGAGAAATGGGAATATCTTCAAAAGCGAATAGATTATTTATATAAATACAGAAACCGCAAAAGTGCCCCTCCAAAACGGATTCAAAAGTATATTTAATAGGTGAAAAGTAATTGCAAGTGTTCAAGAGTGATTTCAAATTGATTACTCGTTGATTGTTAGTATGATAATTCGATTTATAACTTGTGTTATTATGTCACGATATAATCGGTGTTGTTTACACCATTAGAAGATGAAGGAATGCTTCCACCACTTTCCATTTTCTTTCAATGTTTTTGAGAATGGAAATTGTCCTCTGAAGTTTTCTACCCAGGTTATTAATTATAAGCGTAAATCGAGCTATTCAAAAATATTGAATTTACAACTTATTTTGCACGGTAAGGATTCTTGCTGGTATGCGGAGCGATGGACAAGACATATTCCCATGTTTCAGATAGATTAATTTGCGTCCATCCAAACATCGATTGTCTTAACTTGCATAGATTTTTGTTAATCGCTGAAAAGCAGCTCCAAATATTAACTTGTATGCTTATGTGACAAAAGGGCCCAGTTTCAGGTCAAATGATATTACAAAAATTAGCTGCTGCTTTTCGTTGCTCTCTTCTCAATTTGGCCAATTGTTCCTCTAATTCACTAACTTGATTTTGATAAGCATTATTCTTTTGCTGACATTCCAACAATTGATTATTAAGATTTTCAATTTGTTCTTGATAAAATTGGAAAATATTTCTGTATTCAAGATCTCGAGCGCTTAACGGGAATGTGCGACTTGCTTCAATCCTTTTACTAGCATCTGATTCCTTTTCCCATCTTTCAGCTTCCAATTTAATCCATTCAGGGATCTAGAGGATGAAAACAATTAGTGACGTTTAAAATGTTTGAAATGACAAAAGTTGCTATTTACCCCATCAGTTGATGATAGATTACGATTACATGTATTGACCATCGATAATGACATCTCTTCTTTAAGAACAGGTAATACTGAAGTTCCGATTGCTCTACTTCGTTGTCTTTTAGGTTCATTGTTTTTATTTGCATTTGGTGAAGGAATTGTTGTATCAATTATAATATAAACTCGGTCATCGGGAAAACAGTGGATACTTGATAATGAAACTGCTTCTCCAAATCTCAAGTATACATGAGATGCATAAAGAGTCAGAATGGGTTGAGGTTTAAGTATATAATCGCGCCTAATTGAGTTTCTATTTGATGAAATTAATGTTAAATGTTTACTTTGTTCAATTACAACTTTAGGATCTCGAACCAACAAAATCGGATAATCAGGTCCAATTTTTTCCACAATATTCATAAGAGGAGCATTCGTTTCACCTAAATTGAAATTTAAAAGCAATAGAAAGACAATCAATATTAAGAGACAAAACCATAATAAAATCAACTTTGAAAATGATGAATAAGATGCTGTTGAACGTTTAAGATTATTTCATACTGTACATGTATGTTCAATTCATATTGTTAAATATTAAATAAAGATTTACTTTTTTGGTTAAAACATTATTTAGCCTGCATTAGTTAGTTGAAAATGCCAAAAAATCTGACTTTTGAGTTAGGACTTTGTGGTTTTGTAGAGACATAAAAACTGAGTCCAGCAGTGCTATTGCAAGATTTATCTGATTGAAAGTTTCGATAAAATCGAGTTCAAAGTTGGAACTTGAATTTCCTTTCGTACAGTTGAAGCACCAGACTTTCCGCAGGCGTTAAAGACAAAGTTATACAGTGGTGATCAAGGTAATCAAAATGCCAAAGTTTTTTCTTCCATAGTTTAAAATACGGATTATGCTCTTTTCCACCTGTCCCTATTTACATGAATTCAGAGAAAGTTCCGACTACTTTTCGTGGACACTAATGATGAAAATAATTGTGAAAATACTACCAACGAACAATTTGGTAACATTTCTATTTCTGATGCTTTTCATCATGACTCTGTAATTTTTCAATGCAACGAAAGTGAATCTTTTTCAAAATGAATTTAGTTCTTTTCGATGTGTATAGAAATTTGTACATAAAGTCGATAAAATTTGCTGGTTTTATTTACCTATTTTGATTACTTCTGATATGTCAGATGTTTCTTCTTGGTTTTGAAGTAATGATTTAGATTCTTCTTCAACCTCTCTGATTCCCCAAAAGTAAACTTGATTTTCAAAAGTTTGAGCTAACAAGAAATCATTACCAGCTTGAATTTTCTGAATAAAAGAAGAAATGATAAAAAAATCAGAAAAAAAGGCCAATTAAGATAAAATTAAATGTGCTTACTGTTATTGAGTTTTGAGACATTTTAGGTAATAAATTGATCTTTTCAGCGACTATATTGGATCCTTTTGATATCCTTCCAGTCTCGTTGAGTCCCAAAACTAAAAGGGAACCATTTTGAAGAAGGATTAAGGTATTCTTGTGACTAAGACTGATGGATTCAACTTTATCTTTAATACATTTAACAACTTTGGGAGCAAAAATGCGACTAAAATTCATCTTTTTAATCAAAGATTTTTCCTGAATACCAAGCTTATTGTATTCATTTGAGCCACAGGCCCAAACAACATCACGATCATCAATAAACATGGTCGCATCAGGTCCAGTAAAGACTCTTTTAATTACAATATTGGCAGCAAAATTAACAGGAGTTGGTGTTTTAACAGTCACTGATTCTTCAGCGATTCCCAATTGTCCATCAATGTTTCTTCCCCAAGCCATGGCTTTTCCTTCATCAGTTACAATCATGACATGTCGAGGACCCGAAGTGATATCCTGAACATTATAACCCAATAGTTCGTTGATTATTTTTGGTGTATAACTATTTTCCTCCGTCTCATAGCCAAGGCAACATGATTCAGCTGATCCACAAGACATGACTAAACCATTTTTACAAATGAAAATGCTGAAACCTTCACCAGCAACCAATTTGGTGACAAATTTACCCGACAATTCATCAACTAAAACCGCTTTAGGAACCCAATCAGCTGGGTTTGGACCCGTTGCATTGGTTGGTTTGGATAAACGACCCAAGCCAAGTTGACCTTTACCTCCATAGCCCCAAACGTAAATCGATGAAGTGTCAGTCAACGAAAGAAAATGATTTGAACTGCGAGCAAACTGTAGATGAACGTAAAAAGTAAATCATTAATAAAAAAATGTTTGAAATAATTTTCAATTATTGTAGAGACTCACCTGAGTTACCCTTTCACTGAAGGGTAAATCAAATTTATTTAAGGCAAGATTAGGCTCACGTAGATTCACTTCAAATATTAATGATCGCCAGACTTTGATTGATCTATCGGATGGATTAAAAGGTAAAATTGAGAGCATTTGTTAATACATTCCCATTTGAATAATTACGGTAACCAGATTTAATTCAATCTGAATATTGCTTCTTTCAAAGCCATTAACTTAATCCCATGAAGCTTGAAAGATTAAGATTGCTAACTTTATAGTTTTACCAATTTGATTGTTAACGATAACAAATTACATTATCTAACAGATTTACATTAACCTTGGTTTTAATTGTTTACACATACCATTAGCACTAATGAGGTGTTCAAAGTCTTCAAGATAAAAAGGTTTGTGTGTTAAATCTTTAGTAGGAAATTAAACTGTGAAGCATTGAAATGAATACAAACCTGTACAATTGATCAGCAGCTAACATTGCTCCAGTTGAAATTTCGTTTGAATATATTTCACTTTCATACCGATTGAGACGAGCTTTGATTAAAAGTTCCGAGACATCATTTTGTATTTCATGAGCATGAGGGCGCAAAGTTGGATCTCGTTGCAACATTTCACCAATTAGCTTTTGAAATCTAGCTGAATATATCCGCTTAACGGGATCATATTTACCCTAGAAAGATGAGAATGAAAAACTTGAGCGAAAATTGTAAAAATTTTTGAAATTACCGAGGTTACCTCTTCAAAAATTGTTTACCTTAATGATCTTATTAACCAAAGCTGAAAGATTGGTTCCTTCAAAGGTTTTATGAAGACAAGCCATTTCATAAAGGATGCAACCCAAAGCCCAGATATCAGTCTTTTTGTCATATGATTTTCCTTCGCACTAAAATCAAGTAAAGATAAAAAACACAGTTAAGTACTTGGGAGGTTTGAGAGATTACATGTAAATTCAATAACTTACCATTTCTGGACTAATGTAATGAGGTGTTCCAACAACAGTTGAAGCTCCTTCTCTATGAGTACCCAAAATTTTGGAGATACCAAAGTCACCAATTTTAAATATCTTTTCTTTGGTCATGAATATATTGGCTGTTTTCAGGTCTCGATGAAGTATATTACGATCGTGAATATAAGTTATTCCAGAAACAATTTGATTAAAGATAGTGAGTATCTCGAACTCTTTAAGAGGCTTGGACAAGAAGGATAAAAATTCGGCCAATGTACCACCTTCACAGTACTCCATCTCTATCAACAATTTGCCTTCCCATTCGTAGTTGTTGTAAAAAGAGACAATGTTAGGATGATCCAGAATGGATAAAACTTTAACTTCATTAATGGCCATTAAACGTTCCGATGCATTCATGTAGGTCACATCGACCTCCTTCATCACCACCAAGTCACCATCTAATCTACGTCGGTACAAAATGGCCGTCCCAAAGGCACCTATTGAGAATACACAAGATAAATAATGTAAGTTGTAAAGTACTCAAGTGGAAACAGATGACCGTCAATCATTAACATGTACACTAACTTTAACATGGTTTGTTGAGCATTTCAGTACGTGTTAACAAATGAAAATTGGACATTAAAGGGACAATCGATGGTTACAAAGTGTTATTGGTAAATTGGATTAAATTATTGAATAAAACTTACCTTTTCCAACAACGCGAACCTTCTCATAATTTTCCCAGAAGAGATGTCTCGTTGATAGATCAGCTGCACGGTAATTAAAGTCATTTTGGATATTTTTAAGGGCTTTACTATTGAAGCTAAATGATTTAAAATCAACCATTTTTTGGAATTACTGAACTTATTGTTAATACTAATCAAAGGCTCTCTCACACTATCTAATTACCTCTCTCATTAACTCTCTTTCCATCTCTTAATTTCTCCGTCTTCAATCTTCTTTCTTTTCCTTCTATTAATCTTTGTTATTTTACTTCAACCAGAATGAACTCACAGTCACTTGAACTCTTAAACAATTATTCTTTTTCTTATGTCTTTCATTGCCTTTGTTATTTTTTGTTCATTTTTAATTCAAGAGGTGTTATTTTGAAACATTGATGTCTAACAGGGCAATCAAGATCATAAGGTGAGTGAAAAGAGACAGAGACAGAGAAAGACAGTGAAAAGGATCATTGATATAGAGACTTCATTATCTGTTTTATCAGTTCTTGAAATTCTTTGAAAGATTAAATTAAACATGTTTATTTCCATTGAATTTGAGATTTTGACAGCTACTTCACCCATCCAAACATATTGGTGTTTCGACAATTACATGTTTTCACAAAAATTTTAATTGTGAAATATTTAGTTTTGATTAAATTCAACTTCAATCTTAAACATGTACTTTTTCAATTCGTCATTGTGTCAATCATGTTTTACATCCTTTTTGATGAAATATATATCTATTAATATAGTAATTTCAATAACTAAGCTGGATAAAGTTGAGAGTGAGATGAGCCGATGGATGAGCCGATGGATGCTTGCCAAGTACAAAGTTTATTACTTGGACTGTCCAAATTGAAAAATCTTATCTCTAAATAAGGCTTAACGAGCTCCAATGATGTCCTCATTGAGTTTAATCCGAGCGACCTGAGTTTGACTAAAGCTTGCAAATTTTATTTCTTTATTTAGTTTTAACAAAATTAAAATCAAACATTTCTAATATGGCTGAGCTTAAAAGGTTTGAATATTGATTAACATATAAAGCCCAGTTGGGTTGAGCCCAGGCCCATGAAGCAGGCTTGACATCTGAAACCCATGATCCTGAAATCTAAGTTACCTAGATTGGACAGAAAAGAAGCTGGATTAAAAAGTATTCCTGTTAAACCAAAGACAAATTTTATTAAATTATGAAAAAAAGTATGTCTTCATGAATTAATTAAAAATCTTTTCTTCATTGATTCATGATAAAAATCATAAATTTTTTTAGTCGCTAAACAACCTAGTTTGATTGCTTCATTAATATTATCAACAGTAAATTCTCCTTCGCTAGAAACTGATATGATGCTATTTTTTGAGCTTTCGAATGTTAAGACTATGGATCCATCTGACTTTTGAGATGCTTCTTTATTTGGATCCAATTGAATTGCATCAACTGAAATACAACTGGTAACTGAGGCTATCATGCACTTCATAGGAATACCAGCATCAAGTAATGCACAACAAGCACTGTTAACCGCAGCAGATAACAAACAACCATCATCTTGCATCTCCTGTAAAATTACTGATATCCTGGTTCGAGGATGGATATCGAGATGAATGATTGTTTCCAGAACAGTTCGGATATAGTTCTCATACAGTTCCTTTCGAAGATCATCTATAAAGAAGAAGAAGCGATAATTTAATTAGAATCCACGGGTTCATTGATATAGTGTGATTAGATTATGGACTAAAATTCAAAACATTGAAAGGTAATAAACTTACTTTTGTTGCATGAGTTTTTTGGTTTAAATGCAACAAATAGAGATGCTTTTTCGGATTGCTCTTTTGAAGAAACATCTACCGGACCAAAAACAAAAGTTTGGACAATCGTGTTACCCTGACAAAACAAAGCGGACCCATCGGGATTAGCAAGGTTATTATACGTTATTATCAAATCACGTAATTTAGGAGCCATTATTAAGAATCAATCAAATTCACTGAAAACACATGAGTACATAAAACAATTTTGTACCAAAACAGAACACATGCAAGCAGAGGGAGTTGAGAAAGCAGATTAAAATGAGCAAAAATTAGCGGTTTTTTCAAATTCTTTGAAAGATTACCTTAAGCATGTTTATTCCCATTGAATTTCTTATTTTAATAGCTACTCAAATCTATTCAAATATATTGGTGTTCCGACAATTACATGTTTTCACAAAAATTTTAATTGTGAAATATTTGGTTTTGATTGAACCTTCAATTTGATCTTAAACAAGAAATATGATTTAACAATTCGCAATTATTAATTCATCCCTGATGCATTCTCGTGTTTACAAATGATTTTTACATTGTTTAAATCTGAGTTATTTAATTAAAATCATTTCTTATGAAGTTTTTATGATTTTTGTATTGTTCGTCTAAACTTTTGATTTCTGTTAAAATGCATTTAGTCAGATTGATGAAACAAATGCCTGATCTTTGCAGGTTTAATATAGGGTTTTCGAGATTTTCAACTCAATCATCTGATAACAATTATGCTGAATATGAAAGGAGAAAATTTGCCCGAAGATTTGGTAACATTGTTCGACATCATGATAAAGGTAAATCCCTCTTTTAATTTATTTGTTTTGATATTTTGATTATTCAATAATTAGTGTTATTTCTTTCTATCAGGTATGTTACCTAGATTGGGCAGAAAAGAAGCTGGATTAAAAAGTATTCCTGTTAAACCAAAGACAAATCCATGGCATCCGAGAAATGCTATGTTTGGACAAAATGATTATATTGACATTTTAGGTTCTGGTAACACTCATCCGGCTAGTTTACTCAAGCATATTCCTTATTGGATTCGAGGCTGGCGTGGACATGAAATGGAAATGCTGCAAAGGCAAGCTGCTGCTGAACCGACTATGGCAACTTCTCGCCCTGAGAAATGGGAATATCTTCAAAAGCGAATAGATTATTTATATAAATACAGAAACCGCAAAAGTGCCCCTCCAAAACGGATTCAAAAGTATATTTAATAGGTGAAAAGTAATTGCAAGTGTTCAAGAGTGATTTCAAATTGATTACTCGTTGATTGTTAGTATGATAATTCGATTTATAACTTGTGTTATTATGTCACGATATAATCGGTGTTGTTTACACCATTAGAAGATGAAGGAATGCTTCCACCACTTTCCATTTTCTTTCAATGTTTTTGAGAATGGAAATTGTCCTCTGAAGTTTTCTTGAAATTCTTTGAAAGATTAAATTAAACATGTTTATTTCCATTGAATTTGAGATTTTGACAGCTACTTCACCCATCCAAACATATTGGTGTTTCGACAATTACATGTTTTCACAAAAATTTTAATTGTGAAATATTTAGTTTTGATTAAATTCAACTTCAATCTTAAACATGTACTTTTTCAATTCGTCATTGTGTCAATCATGTTTTACATCCTTTTTGATGAAATATATATCTATTAATATAGTAATTTCAATAACTAAGCTGGATAAAGTTGAGAGTGAGATGAGCCGATGGATGAGCCGATGGATGCTTGCCAAGTACAAAGTTTATTACTTGGACTGTCCAAATTGAAAAATCTTATCTCTAAATAAGGCTTAACGAGCTCCAATGATGTCCTCATTGAGTTTAATCCGAGCGACCTGAGTTTGACTAAAGCTTGCAAATTTTATTTCTTTATTTAGTTTTAACAAAATTAAAATCAAAAATTTCTAATATGGCTGAGCTTAAAAGGTTTGAATATTGATTAACATATAAAATTAAAATAGTTTGTTTATTTATTTTAATTAAAAATTGACAGATTCCCGGTGTAACTTTCCAATTTATTGCGTTCCATAAGATGGCGTTGTGCTCGGCTACTATGATAACAGCAGTTGTCTATGAATTATAAATTTTTCTTTTAATTGGTTTGTCACTAACTCTGTTCAATTTTTTTAAATTGCCGTTTATTTGTTGTTTCTTATTCATTTACTTTTAATCGAATTGGTCTAACCTTGTTGCAATTTATATTGTTATTTTATTCTATTTCATTTTATTACTCTTTATTGTGAGTCTTGTGCTTATCCATCTCTTTCTCTCAACAAAATCCATCATAAACCTGAATTTCTCGCCTTTTCCTTCATTTGACTTGGTGGAATATACACAAGGTTGTCAAGTAAGAAACAGTCGCTGTTGAAGCAATGAGCAAGACAACTAATGGTGAGGGTCCAACACAAGAATCAACTCGTCGATTGACCATTAAAAAGCAAACTCTGGATGATGCCTATGCTGCTCCAGCTAACTTTCTTGAGATAGATGTTGTCAATCCAGTAACTCATGGCGTTGCAAGAAATCGTTATACAGATTATGAGGTTCGCCTTAGAGTAAGTTGTCATTATTCATCGAAGGGGAGTGGATTGTTTAGTAGTATGTATAGGTGTATGAATGGGTGTTGATCGATGCTTTTAGTCTTTTCAACTGATAAACAATCCACCCTTTCTTATCATGTGTATTTTATATCAATTATTCCTCTTCACATTTTTGACCTTTTCGATATCATTTTCATTCTTGTTCTGACATTCATATTTTACCAGACCAACTTACCCATATTTAAATTAAAAGAATCAAGCGTACGCCGACGTTACAGTGATTTTGAGTGGCTTCGAAATGAATTGGAACGCGATAGTAAAATAATGGTACCTCCATTACCTGGTAAAGCATGGAAGCGTCTGATGCCTTTCCGAGGTGATGATGGCATTTATGAAGAAGATTTTATTGAAGAGAGAAGGAAAGGACTTGAATCATTCATCAACAAAGTTGCTGGTCATCCTTTGGCTCAAAATGAGAAATGTCTTCACATGTTTCTTCAAGAATCAACTCTCGATAGAAATTACGTTCCTGGTAAAATAAGAAACTCTTGAAGATATCAATCAAAAAGCACAGCACTTCTTCACTTTAATTCCCACACAAATCCACATTTTAAGATCCTATCAAGAAATGGATGAATGTATAATATTTATGAATATATAATGCTTATATTTACATAATTACCGAGTGACCTCTCTTTACCGTTGGTTATCAATTCTGATTATCTTGTAAACGTTAAATTAATTGATTTTATTAGAAATTTAAATTTATCCTCCGAGTAAGAAATTTACATCGTTTACATTGTCATGGAATATTTATTAATCCCTTTGTGTTTAAATAATATATTTGGAAGCTAAATCACAATAAGCAACCAATTTGAAAAAAGTTTAATAACAATTTTAACTATGAAAATCAGTGTTTATTTTTGAATTTGATTGAAACATTCATTCTTTGAAATGAAAACATATCAGCGAGTTTCATTCCAAGCTCATCAATTGATTGCTATTTCCACACAACTAGATTTCATTCAGTTTAATTCAAAGTTTTATAACTTTTACTTGTTAGATGTAAATAACTAATCAGTTCAAATGCTATATTGATCCAGTTGAATTAACGATTTTACTTATTGTATATCAATTTATGAGAAACCAGTTAGAATTAAGATTCTAGTCAATAAGTAAAACTTATAACATTCGTATGATGTAATTGCTATTGCATAATTTACTTCTTTACTTGACCGTTACTTTTAAATTTAACATATTAGAGCGATCCATTGATGGCTACCCTAGCATAGTTAACTTAACTTGAGATGGATAAAAACACTCTTAAGTTACTCTCCAGGTTGTGTTTGATCAGGGAATAAGGTTCGGACGAATTCTGATTAGTTTTGCTTAAGTTGTGCGTAAAAACAAAAATTTTTGACGAAGAAATTTTTTGCGCAGAAATCACAATTTTTGCAGATTTTTCAAAATTTTGGACTTGAAATAAGAGTTTTAGCTGCATCTGGACTTCAGATTGGATGCATAAGTTGGCTGGATTCTGAATATAAAGTCCAGAGTCTTTATTTCTCGCTTAAAGTCGAAAAATCTGTAAAAATTTTGATTTCTGGGCTCAAAAAATTTCGCTGTCAAAAATTTTTGCTTTGCGCACAACTTAATAAAAACTAATCGTAAATTGTCTAAACCTTTTTCTCTACTCAAACACGACCTGGAGAGTAACTTAGAAGTGTTTTTGTCCGTCTTAAGTTGCGTTAACTATGCGAGGGTAACCATCAATGGATCGCTCTAATACAATGTATTAGCGTGTCAAATATATTTTGATATAATTATCGTTAGAATTGACTGAAATTTTGGGAATCAAAGTAAGCACCTCAAGTATTAATATATCGTTTTAATTTCTACATCCAAGAATTGATACTGTTTTTGTGCTCTTCCCAAAATTTATAAATTGTCTTTGACTTCCGTTTCTGACAAAATTATTGTGACTAGATTTTTTCTTTGAATGAATTTTTCAAAAAATAAGATGGATAGAAGTCCATATGGATGAGATCAGTTACATAGGGTTAATGGGCAAGCATTCAGAATCTGAAGTTATAATAGAAATTTTGTTCAAAGTCGCTTGTGAATTGTAAGAAAAAGCTTGTCGGAAAAAAGATTTTTGACGATTTTTCTACCCTTTTCAAAGCGATTGAGAGACTTTAACTTTGGGAATATTTGGCCTAATTGATCTTTTCTTTTAAACTGATTAATTAAGGATAAATAATGTTTCAACAAAAAGAGGTCACAATCAAATCTTTTTTTTCATAGATATAGAAAGCAAAAGATATTTGACAGCATAATATTTTTATCATCGCGAGATCTAAAGAGTTAGTTTGAATAGAGATATGAATTGCTTGTCTGATGTTGTTTTGATTTTTAAGTGATCAGAAAATAATCTTTTCAAATTACAGACTGAGCTTACTGGTTCTGATTTTGGTTGAAATTCAATGTAAATAAGAGATTAAAATGATTAAAACTGGAATTACCGAGTCGTTTCTATTGCTTTTCATTATTAAAGTTATTGCTTTTCACTGAATTGATCAAGTGTTAAACTTTGAGTTATTCAAATGTTAGAGTACAATTAAAACGGAAAGTTAAATCTGATAGATTAATTTTATTGTTGCATTCTTGTAAAAAAGGAGGCGATTTAAAGTTTCTGAAGACAGAACATGAGAATGGAAAAGGATCTGCTTATAAAGATCCAATGAAAAAGAGTTAAAGGAAAGGTGGAAGAAAAGATGTCAACTGATTTGACTGGGCTTTAAACCTGACTTCAGTCATAATCACAATTTACAGAAAAAAGTTAAACGGATGAGTTGAGGATCATTTTGATTTCATTTTTTTCTGAATCAGTTTTTGATTAATTTTTAATCAATCTAGAACTGTGTTCGTTCAGATCGTTTTTGGATTGGTTCGGTCCATGCAACTGGGTGAGCGGATGACCAAGTTGATGACCAAGGAGCAGCACGGTGGGTATTGGTGTAAACTGTTTGTGGGTATTCAACACCATAGTAAGTTGGTTGGACTGATGAAACGTAGGTATTCAATGGTTTGGCATCTGACCATGATGACCATGAAGCAGGCTTAACATCAACCCAATTACCTTGTCTATATGAGGGTTTAGGTTGAGCCCAGGCCCATGAAGCAGGCTTGACATCTGAAACCCATGATCCTGAAGCTGGAACAGCAACTTCACCAGACCAGGCTGAGTATTGAGCTGGAGCTGAAACAACATTGCTTACTGTGGCATATTGTGGACCAACAGAGACTGATCGTGCTGGGAAAGCTTGTGAGGCAACATTGTAAGAAACTTCTTCATTTTTGACGGGAACATCATGGCTGATTTCACTAATTGTTTAGAAATTTTATTAAAATAAATGAATATATAATTGAAAGTTATTTTGCAAGTATTCAAATTAAATATTAACTTACGTTGAGTATTGGAAAGGTTTTGGAGCAACATCGGCAGCTACTTCTTCAACTTTAACAGCTGGAGCAGAAATTGCTTTGGCAACTTTGGGAGCTGAAAGACCGGCTGAGTAGTATCCTGACCAGGTTGATGGAACATAAGATTCGTCTGACCATGTTGATGGGACAACCTTGTAATTAACTGCTCCTGAGTATACTTTTGGTGCTACTCCAGTTGAATAATGAATTGGCTGTGAGTGGTAAACGGATGGTGAATATTGAACTGCTTGTCCATGGTGGATTGCTTGTCCATAGTGGGCTGATGGGTAGTAATAAGATGATGATGATGGCCAGTATCCACTGGATGCAACAGGTGAAACATAAGACAATGAACCATCCCATTCTTTAACCTTATCAGAACTGGCTAATCCCCATGATGATTGAACGGGGCTAATCTTGTGAATTTGGTGGTTTGCTGAAGCAACAGCAAAGAGGACGGCAAAGCAGATGAAAGTGTTCATTGTGAGGGAAACTGAAGGGTCTTGATGTACTTAAAATAACTATCAGTGGTTAAATGATAATTCATATGAAGACCCATGTTCCTTTTATACTTAATCACAATTACTTTCTCTTCTTTCGTGGTTTCCTAGATTCTCTAAGAATCAAGTTTCTAATCACGATGACGGTAATGGTGACCAATGATGATCCAGTTTAACTCAATACAAATTTTGAGGCTTTTAAACTCCCCTTTTCATCATCTCTCCTCCTTTCTTCACAGAGATGATCTTACCTTGATCATCATTTTGAACATCAAAATCATCTCGATCATCTTTGTGCACTATGTACATTATGTATTTCTCATCTGCATTAAGAATCACTTTACACATATTCATCTCAAGGCTAACGCATTTGCGACAGAATGCTGAAAACCGAGGTTTACTTTTATCTCATCTGATTTACGTGAGATAAATATTAAGTTATTGATTTACTTGGGAATTATTTGGATAACTAGAAACATAATAATTCATAACATACGTTCATCAATTGACTTCTAACAATGGCAATTTAACAATGGCGAAACAAGTAAATCAATGGCAATCTAATCAGAAGCTAATATCAAGATCATGAATACTAATTTATTTGTACCTAAATAATTGACTGGTGATTATATATTTGGAACATGGAGATTATTAAAAAAAAATTTTCAATAACTCATAAAACACAGCGATTAACTAGTTAGTAGCAATAAAAGCCAAGAAAAACAAGTTATTCAGGAAACTATTTTGAATGAGATTCGATTTTTCAAAGCCATACTCAGATATGATCTATCGGTTAATTGTAATTGTTTGATGCCACTAAAATCTTTTTTACTTTTAAGTGTTAATTATGTACGATTATCCTTGATTATCAAGGCTAAGTAATAGAAACAAAATAAAATGGTAAAAAAAGAAACGAAAATTAAACTTGTTTCGTTTGATTCATCAATCAGAACCGGTATCAGCAACCGGTCCAGATATTCAATCTTTTTATTTTGATCAGAGAGTTTCCAATGATTTAAGTTTTCGTTTTTTTTGCTGCCTCAGTTTCATGTACTTGATGCTGATCAATTAATGAAGGACCATCTCATTTGAGTAAGTAAAAAGCCAGAAATTAAAGATAAAAATACGAAGGGATTCATCTTATTCCGTCGCTTTCTAGAAGTTTACCTTTTAAACCATTTTAGGATCAAATGACTATTGCAATAACTCTTCGTCATAACCTTGACATGTTTATATCATTTGAGCTGAAAAGATCAACAACATTTGTTTATCGCACTCATCACCATCAACATGATCATTGATCAGGCCAATCAAAATTTCAGTCAACACGTGATTAAAATTAATCAACCTTTGATTAAGGTTGAACCATATTTTTGTAAGATTTAAACCAATTTCACAGTTTGACTTTTCCTCTTGTAAGATTACAAGTTGCAAGACTCTCATAAAATTATCAAAACTTCAAAGATATCAGTTATAAAATCACCAAAAAACATCACAAGTTACACTTTTGCTTTCCTATTCAATCAAAATCTTTGCACTTTCAAGTTCACCTTATTTCAGCTTATTTCAGTAGTTTTTTGGCTAACCTTTGTTCAATTAAAAAGTCAACTTGTAAATTCAATGGTTCCTTTACCCTCAAGGTCTACAAATTGTAATAAATCTTGTCATTTTCACCATAAATTGTCAACCTTTTTAATCAAAATAGTCACTTATCTACTTCAACGACTATAAACTTACAACTTGTTAGCTGACTATTTCATCTGAATAAGCCTCAAATTTATTTACTTTTTTGGGTAAATTTTTATCCATTACCAACATTACCTAGTAACATCTATTATTAATACTTTATTTAAGCTTTCTTGTAAAAAGGCCATTCGGATGTTTTCAAATGAAATGATTGACTTTTGTAGTTTAACCAAGGTTCTTTAATCAGAATGTTCATTCCCAGTTGATTAGTGATCAAGTCAAACTTAGAATTTCAGCAACTCACCTTATTTCATCTGATTTGCCTAAGTTCATTTGAATAAGACTTACGCTCATACCTTTTAGTATGAGCGTCTTTTTGACTTTCATGTAAAAATTATTTTCTGATAGTTAATTGAACAATTTACTATCGCTGATAGAGTTTATATTTTAATTGCGATTTTCCTAAATGAGATTAAATTTTAGAAACTGATTTACTGATGTGAACAGATTGTTAATGCTTGTAAGTCCAGTGAGTAAGTAAATTTTGTCAAGCATTGTTAAGCATTCGGACTGAGCGGAAAATAATTAGCATAAAATTTCTCTTCAATCGAAGCCATAAAAGACACGCTCTGTTCTGTTCCTGGAGGAATCATCATTATAATTATTAGTTTTTTATTTCGATACTGCTCTTAAGGCGCTTGTCCGAAGACTTGACTGACAAACCAATAGCTAAAGTGGTAATGGCGACGTTTATCAGTCCCGGAACTAGGTTGTGGTTTAATAAGGTATCGAGTTACAATTTCGCTCAGATATTGCGGTAGTTTCTAATATTAATCTCAAGGTTGAGCGATTTTCGGTCACTTTTCGGGTTCACATATCACTAAATTAGCAACTTTGGTCACTTTCATTTGGCTTAATGATTAGGTCGTTCACTTTCAAGCAACAGGGTTTCCTCTCATTCTGACTTTTCAACAGAATAGTCCAACTCAAGTTTCAATTGTTTATCTTGTTATTATAAAATAATCAGACATCATGAGAGTTAAAAAGATGTTTCCAGAATTCAATAAGATCTGTGTTTGTGTAATGTTTATAATGATTTTTCATTTATTCATGATTTCATCTACTTCAAGTCATCGATTTTCTCATCGAGAAGCTCGTAAGTTATTTAAACTGTTATTTGCTGCTTCTTTGTTCGCTCCTCCAGGATTTGGTGTACTTCCGATTCCATTGCCTGTGCCCGTGCCCTTTGCCGTTGAATCAGTGAAACCACCGATAATTCACCCTTTTCCAGTGCATCATGGTCATCATGGTCATCATAGTCATCATTTTGGAGGTATTCATGGTTAATTTGGCCAGTTTTGGTGAACAATAAGGTTCTTTAACAGCCATTTCTTATATTACTTATTAATACTTTCAAGATCAGTTATACTGTCTTGAGAATTGAATTTTGTAATATCATGTAATTCTTGATGGAAAATTTTATTAAAGTATGCAAATTTTTGTATCTCGAACGTAAATAGGTCTTTAAACCTTCAAGATGTTTTTTTATTCTTCATGAATTAATCAAAAATCTTTTCTTCATTGATTTATGATAAAAATCATAAATTTCTTTGGATGCTAAACAACCTAGTTTAATGGCTTCTTTAATATTATCAAAAGTTAATTCTCCTTCGCTAGTTACTGAAATAATGCCATTTTTTGAGCTTTCGAATGTTAAGACTATGGATCCATCTGACTTTTGAGATGCTTCTTTATTTGGATCCAATTGAATTGCATCAACTGAAATACAACTGGTAACTGAGGCTATCATGCACTTCATAGGAATACCAGCATCAAGTAATGCACAACAAGCGCTGTTAACAGCAGCAGATAACAAACAACCATCATCTTGCATTTCTTGTAAAATTACTGATATACTGGTTCGAGGATGCATATCGAGATGAATGATTGTTTCCAGAACAGTTCGGATATAGTTCTCATACAGTTCCTTTCGAATCTCATCTATGAAAAAGTGATAATTCAATTAGTGAATGAGGTTTCATTTCATTGATACTATACGTGATTAGATTATGGACTAAAATTGAAAACATTAAAAGGTAAAACGCTTACGTTTGTTGCATGAGTTTTTTGGTTTAAAAGTAACAAATAGAGATGCTTTTTCGGATCGCTCCTTGGAATTAGAAACATCTACTGGACCAAAAACATAAGCTTGGACAATCGTGTTACCCTGACAAAACAAAGCGGACCCATCGGGATTAGCAAGGTTATTATACGTTATTATCAAATCACGTAATTTAGGAGCCATTATTAAGAATCAATCAAATTCACTGAAAACACATGAGTACATAAAACAATTTTGTACCAAAACAGAACACATGCAAGCAGAGGGAGTTGAGAAAGCAGATTAAAATGAGCAAAAATTAGCGGTTTTTTCAAATTCTTTGAAAGATTACCTTAAGCATGTTTATTCCCATTGAATTTCTTATTTTAATAGCTACTCAAATCTATTCAAATATATTGGTGTTCCGACAATTACATGTTTTCACAAAAATTTTAATTGTGAAATATTTGGTTTTGATTGAACCTTCAATTTGATCTTAAACAAGAAATATGATTTAACAATTCGCAATTATTAATTCATCCCTGATGCATTCTCGTGTTTACAAATGATTTTTACATTGTTTAAATCTGAGTTATTTAATTAAAATCATTTCTTATGAAGTTTTTATGATTTTTGTATTGTTCGTCTAAACTTTTGATTTCTGTTAAAATGCATTTAGTCAGATTGATGAAACAAATGCCTGATCTTTGCAGGTTTAATATAGGGTTTTCGAGATTTTCAACTCAATCATCTGATAACAATTATGCTGAATATGAAAGGAGAAAATTTGCCCGAAGATTTGGTAACATTGTTCGACATCATGATAAAGGTAAATCCCTCTTTTACTTCATTTGTTTTGATATTTTGATTATTTAATAACTAATTCTATTCATTTTTATCGGTCATGTTATCAGGATTTGAAAAAATAGTGGAGTTAGACAAGGACGATTTTTTCGGCATCAAAACTTTTAGTGCAGATGATGTTAAAGGAATTGATGGTCTTGATGATGCTAAAAGGCAAAAATTAGATAAAAAGGTAAAAGAATTATCTAATCTCCAAGGTTTAGTTTCATCTGAAGAAGGTTTCCTGAGGTCTATGTCTTACGGAAAAGTTAGATATGATCATGAAAATAAAGTCGATTATATGGGCCAATATGAAAAAGATGTAAATCATATTTTGCTTGAGAAGAAAAGACGATATATGTTGGAAATCACATCTGCAAATGAAACAAATGAAAAAATGGATTCTGATTCTGACCAAGGGGCTGAACAAGTTCCGTTGAATTATATTGATCAACAGTATTTTGATATAAACACGGAAAAAGAAGATAACCAAAAACAAGCTTCCAAAACCACTGATCTGAACTTTATTGATTATCAATATTTTAGAGATAATTATTCTTCCGAGCTTACATCTGAAGGCTTTCCGCTCGGTCCTATCAAGTTTCAATTTACGCCAGCATGGAATGAATATAGAGATTATTTGAATTCATACGACCCTTCGACATTTGAAGCTAATCAAAATTCTCCAGAGCAATTAATAGAGAATTTAACATTTGCAGGAGACACTCCATTGCGCTCTGTGGAAGAAGTTACTCATGAATTAATTTTAATGAAGAAAAATTCACAAAATGATGAGAGTCAAGATTCACCTGAAAATAAAGAAATCAAAACGGAAGATCACAACAATTTAACCAGTGAAGAAGTCGAAGATGTACCAAAAACTGCCTTAGATTATATCACTCAAATACGTAAAGGTCAGCTACTTCCGGAGGACAAAGCATACTTGGAACACCTGGAAAAAAAATTCAAGAAATTAGGTAATGAATTTAAAATGAGAAGCTTCGACGTAAAAGAAAAAGCTTATGACTCTACTGGTAAAAGGAGTTTTCTTGAACAATCCCCAAAACTTAATTTTTTGCGTCGTAATGAGCTGCTTGATCTTCTCGCTCAAAGAGTTTTATTTAATGAAAGAGATCTGATTGCTATCGATAAACCTAACGGATTGATCGTTGAAGGGGGTGATACTAATTCAAAGTATCCTTCTTTAGAAAATCTGTTGCCTGATCTTTCCCGAAAATTGTTTGATAAAGAAAATCAACTTTATTTAGTTCACAGACTTGATAGAGATGCAACCGGAGTACTTCTTCTCGCTAAATCTTTATCGATGGTTAAAACTCTGAGAGAAATGTTTTCAGAAAGAAAAATAAGTAAATATTACTGGGCCATTGTTCGAGGAATTCCTGACCCCTTAAATGGTATTATTGATATTCCGATTGAGGCTGGCAAAACAAATGGAGTTGAGCGGATGCATCTGAAACCTGATTGTGATTTAGACTTCAATCGAAAAATTGGAGCTACTCGAGGAGCTTATCCAGCAACAACACACTTTCGCACTCTTAGAAAGTGGGGAAATGCCTGTCTGGTGGAATTAAAGCCTGAACAAGGAATTAAACACCAAATTCGTGTACATCTTGGCTTTGGACTAAGAACGCCTATTTTAGGTGATCATAAATATTCACATCTTGATAAACTGGCTCCCCAAAAGCTTCCTGACGATATGTTATTGAAATTAAATGTTCGTCAAGCAAAAGTAAGGAATATACCTTTGCATCTTCATTCAAAGTTGTACATTATCCCCGGAATAGGAATGAATGGTAATAATGTATCAATTTCAGCTCACCTTCCTGGTTTCTTCCGCGCGAATATGTCCAGTTTAGGATTATACAAACAAGAAGCTGTGCTCAAAAATCCTATTGCATTTTAGTTTAATTTAATTAATTAATTTAATATTTTGTGTAATTTATCAAATGTTTGTTAAACTCAATTTCTGCACCTAAACATCCGTGCTTCTCTTGATATCTGTTTAATGTTTCGACCCGATATCCCTCTATTTGGTCTAGTCAGACTTATTTTACTGTTGTATTGTAAAAATTCAAATTGTAATTGACTTCAAATTAGTGACTAATTTCAGATGTGCCTTTTGAGTTTAAATAAAGATTTTTGTATATTGTCTTGTATTTAAATTAATTTGTGAGTTAATTAAAATTTAAATTATTTGGTTATATTTTCATTAAATTGTGATTAGTTCAGTTTGATTTAGTTGTTTTATTTTAATCTGAAAGTTTAGTTGTTTCTCTTCCGGTCCATGTACCGGAAAAGGAAGGAAGATGGCAGTATCATCGTATTGGTTGCCATCTTTATATTTCTTAACCGCCATCTTTTTTCCCGAGAAAACTATCAATACTATCAACGCCTTTCAATAATTTTAAATTGTGATTGTTACTGGTGTTACTGAATTCTCATCTAATCATGCCCGGAACTACTGATAATAGCTACCAACAACATCAGGGTGAAGAACAAAATGATGCAAATCCTAACGTTGATAATGACAGCTCGAATAACGCTACCGCCTTTGATAATCAACAACAAGGTGATCAACAAGGTGAGCAACACGATAATGGTAATGGTGAAAAGTCTACAAACGAAGAACCTGAACAATTCAGAAAACTTTTTATTGGAGGTTTAGACTATAAAACTACCGAAGACACACTTAGAGCTCATTTTGCACAGTGGGGTGAAATCTGTGACTGTGTTGTAATGCGTGATCCACAAACAAAGAGATCTCGTGGATTTGGTTTCATAACTTACAGCAAATCAAGTATGGTTGATGCTGCTCAGTCAGCTCGACCACACAAAGTTGACGGACGTGAGGTTGAACCTAAACGGGCTGTTCCTCGTGAGGTGAGATATCACAATTTTGCATTTATTTATGAAAAGTCATAATTACCTGTGCATATCAATTTTTACCTCTTATTTTTTGGTCTAGGAATCTGGTAAACCAGAATCACAAGCAACGGTGAAAAAAGTGTTTTTAGGAGGCCTCAAAGAAGATGTTGAGGAAGAAGATCTTAGAGAATATTTCAAAGATTTTGGAAATATCGTAAATGTAAATGTCGTGACCGAAAAAGAAACTGGAAAGAAACGAGGATTTGCATTTGTTGAGTTCGATGATTATGATCCAGTAGACAAGATAGTCTGTGAGTTTGCAAAGAAATGTCTTTATTTATGATCCTAATCAAATTTAAATCCTTTCTGTACAGTAAAAAAGCATCATGTCATTAAAGGACGCAAGACTGAAGTAAAAAAAGCTTTAGCTAAACAAGAAATGGATAGTCACAAAAGGAAAGGTGACTCTAGGCATAAACCAACTAGAGGAGGACCTGACTCTCGTAATGCACCAGTTTGGGAATCTGGTCCTTATAACAGTGGTTTCGGTGGAGGCTACGGTAATCAAGGAGGATGTAAGTTTGAATACAAATTATTAGATTAATATTTAATACTTGATTTTTGGCAGTCATCTAAAATCTGAATTTGTTTTTGTGATTCAATGTTTTTTTTCATATTTAATTTTTGAATTGTTATGCAAATTTTGCTTCATGAATAATTGATATTTAATTTTGTTTTATCTTAGATGGCGGCTCATACACTGGTGGCTATGGACAGGGCTACGGTAGTCAAGGCTGGAATCAAGGTGGTAAGTCTCGATTCATCAGTCTATATTTTTTATTCAAAACCAGATTTATGTCTTGGGCATTAATTTATTGTTACTTATCTATGTTTACAGGTCCTAGCGGTGGCTGGCCAAGCGGTGGATATACTAGCGGATATAGTGGTGTAGGGTACGGCAGTGGTAGTAGTACTGGTCCTGTTCGAGGTGGTAGATATCCACATCGCTCAAGCGTTCCCTACAGGGGTAGAACTGCTTTTTAAACTTATTTTCTAACTTGTGAAAAGAAAATCAATTTGAAATCTTATATACTTCTATTCGGCATTTATTTTGATCTGTTAACATCTAGACTTCTGATATGTTCAAATTTCTCAGATATGCTCTCGATTTCAAAGCTATCAATTTTTCTTCACTTTTGTTTAAATTTTTTTATTTATTTCTTTGTCGTTTTTTATGATGAATTTCGCGCCAAAAATGATTAAGTTAAGTCTACGAATAATAATTGATTTTTTATCTAAATGATGGGATCCTATTGAAATCATCGTGAAAATGATTTGCATTAGATTACACGTTCTTACAGGCTGAATAAACTTGGATCGATTCCATTACTTTCTCGAATAATTAAATCTTCCATATTAATTCAGCAAATATAAATTTCTCGTCAAAACTGTATAGATTCGCAATGATTCTCACAACTTGAGCATTATCTTGAAAAACTACTTTGATTAGAAATCAAATGAGAATTGTTTTGTCGTTTGAAAAATCATGAGCATTATAAATTGTTTTACAAGCAAAAATATCTGTTATTTTGGAAGATGAATTTGAAATAATTTTCATAACAAATTAAGGTTGCCCTGTCTGTGAATTGATGATTTTCCCCTTTCACTTTGAAGATGATTATCTTCTGTACTTGTAACCAATCACGCGATTATTGATGAGTTTTTTGAGTCAGAGAGATTCTTGTGTAAGTTTTGAATTTTTTTCCTCTAATCGTTTGCATCGTGTACATCGACGATTCTTTCGGTGATAACAATTCCTGTTAGTTCAAAGAAAGTAAGAGATTTAGTGTGATGGGACGATTTAATAATGAAGCGATTACAACAACTATATTCAATGAACTTACTTGTGGTAAACTACACTGCATTGAGGACATGAGGCAATATTTGATGCAAAAGGAAATAAAAGGTCGTCCTTGTCATGACAAAGTTCACAGTAAAAACCTTTACCTCTGCAGCTCTGAAATTAGAAATCAAAATTTCAATCGATGAACAAAAACTTGAACTGCAAGTGCAACAATTACCTCACAATCTTTAGTTATATGACAAAGCAAAGAGGAATGTACGTCAATAAGATCTTTCTGCAATTTAACTGTGTTACAAAGCTCGTCGATAGTGTAACAATTTATTAAAGATTCTTCTATTAGATGTTGACTAATAGTCAGCTTTGGTTTGAAAGGCTGTCGACATAATCGTGCATATTGCGCCATAGATATGAGTTCTTTACGCATTCGCTGAAAATAATAAATAAATTGTATTAGAAAAGTTTTGAGGTACAAAAGGACACATTCTAAAGATTTTTCCTTTCATTTGTAAAATACCTTAATGATTGGCAACTCCTCTACAAACCCATAAAGCATTGAGTTAAGCTGTAGAATATCGAACAAAATTGGTTTTGATCGAATATAATTTATAGTAAGAAGTGACTTTTTTGAAACAGGACGAGGAAGAAAATCCCAATTATGAATTATGCGAGCTGGTATCACAGCAGTATCCCCAGAATGACATTTTTGACAGTAATATTTACCATCATAATCACAGAGATTACAGGAATTGAAGGAGATTGGTCCATCACAATCGTTACACTTGAATTGCTGTTTAACCATACCGATCTCTGGGCATATTTTTAAAATAACTGCTTCGTAACTTTTATTGCATCCAGAAAATCTCTCTTCTTTATCAAAGTCTAATCTAGGACACGGACGGAGACCAGGCTTTATGAGATGATAAGTGAAGTTTAAAATTAGTTGAATAACATTTGAAAGGTCATATTTCATCCAAATTCAACAGGATTATGTAACAAGTGCTTTGAGTTAACTATAGATATGGTATATCTAAGATATACATAACGATCAATCGACGTAATAAAACATTTATTTACCTTTTCTAAGCAATCTTGATGAATGTGGAGGTTACAAGAGTAACATACTAACATGTCTTTGCCTGAATTTGATGAACGAAAGAGAGATGTTAACGGTAATCCACGAGATTTTTTCTCACAGCTATCACAAACAACTGATTTAGGCGAATCTGTCTCAATGAATCTGATAAGAGTATGACCAAGGTGACTGGTCTTTTCAGCTTCTTCATTCATATCATTCAACTGTATCCTAAGTGCACAAACTTTAGCAACCAATTGCTCTCTAATTATCTGATCAGTCTCTGGCATGCGAATAAGTTTTATATAACGCTGGATTGCAAGCTCTTTATCATGACGTCGTGCAGGTATCTAGAAATAAGCAACAGAAATGCAAAATTAAATACTGAATCATTATTGAGTTAAAATTGACAGAAATATCCACAAACGGATTTAGCATATAAAAAGTAAACAAAACTAACCTCATCTTCAACATTGAATCCTGGTTCATCATCATCGAGGAAGTAATCATCAATGATTACGTGTTCGTCATCCTCTTCACATGGAGGTTGTTTATTATCTTCAGGTAGAAACATATTAATAACAAAAGCGATCTAGGCCAAACTTAATGTAATTACTGAGACCTCAGTTTTAGAGTTGAAGAGGTGTATATTTAGAAGTAACAGTCATGTGAAAAAATATTATTAGAGACTCCTATTGTAAATAAGATAAACCAAAAAGACAAATTGTAGAAAATCATCAATTTTGTTGAAATCATCATCATCGATTACAAGAAAAGTAGTAAAATTGTAAAACTTAAATAGACGAGATAAACATATTTTACAAATGTACACTTTAATGTCAAAATTATTTTGAGTATTTTGTATACAAAATATCCTAAGTGAAGACTTTTGTGAGAAACTATCGAAACAGAATATTATTTAGAGACAACCCCGCATCACTCCTTAAATTATTGTTAGCTTCGCCTTTACAACGTGCTTTCTCTTGAGCTTAAATACTTCTCCAATTTTAACTTAATTTAACAGTGTCATTCAATTTAAGTAATTTACCAACATGGCTTTACCTGTACCTCGTGCCCCCGGCTTCACTTCAATGTTAAAGGAAGGTGCCGGACAATTATCTGGAGTAGAAGAGGCCGTAATTCGAAGCATTGAAGCTTGTAATGAATTTTCACGTACTTTGAAAACCTCTTATGGTCCGAGAGGACTCAATAAAATGGTAATCAATCATTTAGAGAAACTTTATGTCACCAATGATGCAGCTACTATTGTTCAACAATTGGATGTTCAACATCCGGCTGCCAAAATTCTTGTTATGGCTTCACAAATGATTGAAAAAGAGGTAAGGTGTTGCCGATATCTTTCATCTTTACAACCTAGCTCTAACTTATTTAAATCCTTTATCATTTTCTGATATAAATTTTTACTCAGGTTGGTGATTCCACTAATTATGTCATCATGTTAGCAGGAGCCTTGTTGGAAAAGGCTGAAGAACTTATTCGTATGGGACTTAAGCCTATCGAGATTGTTGAAGGTTATGAAATGGCTCGTGATGCTGTCATCAACGAGATACTCCCTAATCTCGTCGTTGATACTGTAAAAGATTTTCATAATCTGGAAGAGGTCAAAAGAGGAATTAGAACTTCAATTGCCAGTAAACAGTTTGGCTATGAAGATTTCTTAGCGGATTTGATTGGTAGAGCATGTATTCTCGTCATGCCTAAGTCAGAAAATGCTTCATTTAATGTTGACAATGTTCGAGTTTGTAAAATATTAGGCTCTGGGGTGACTAAATCTGAATTGGTTCAAGGAATGATTTTCAAAAAAAGTGTTGAAGGCTCTGTTACGTCAGCAACCGATGCTAAAGTTGTTGTTTATACATGCCCTGTCGATGTACCGACCACTGAAACAAAAGGAACAGTCCTCATTCAAACAGCACAAGAATTGACCAATTTTAGTCGAGGAGAAGAAGTTCTATTTGAAAAACAAATTCAGGATATCGCTGAGTCTGGTGCTAAGGTTATTGTTTCAGGGGGTAAATTTGGTGATATGGCACTGCATTATTGTAATAAATACGGACTGATGGCCGTTCGTCTTCAATCTAAATTTGATGTAAGACGTTTGTGTAAGACTGTTGGTGCTGTTGCTTTGCCAAAACTTCAGGCTCCCAAAAAAGAGGAGCTTGGCTTTTGTGACAATGTTTATATAGATGAAATCGGTGGTACTTCTGTAGTTGTTTTCAAACAAAGTTCGGCAGAATCCAAAATTTCAACAATTGTTGTGAGAGGATCATCTGATAATGTTATGGATGATATCGAAAGAGCCATTGATGATGGAGTCAATACATTCAAAGCCCTTACCAAAGATGGAAGATTAGTAGCAGGAGCTGGAGCTTCTGATATCGAAATGGTTGTCAAGATTGCCTCTTTAGCAGAAACTCTTCCCGGTTTAGAGCAATATGCTGTTGGTAAATTTGCTGAAGCTCTACAAAGTATCCCTGTTGCTATCGCTGAAAATGCGGGCATTGATCAAGAAGTCGTCACTAAACTATTCGCGGCACATCAAGCTGGAGATACTTCGGCAGGAATCGACATAAATTCAGATCTTCCTACCACTTTAGATGCCGTGAAATCTAAAATATTTGATCTCTACTTAGCTAAGTATTGGGCAATTAAATATGCTGTCAATGCTGCTAATACAGTCTTACAGGTTGACCATATTATTTGGGCTAAGCCTGCTGGAGGACCCAAACCAAGGCAAGGTGGTGGTGACTGGGATCAAGATTGAGTACCTCGATCAAGTTTTTATATTCTGATTATTTGTATTCTCAGTCTACTAATCGATTCCGAATGAATCCATATGCGTTAATAACATAACTCAATAAATATGTGGACTAACACATTTATAATTTAACTTGGTGTTAATAATTTTATTTTATTACACTTTATTTCTACAGTTATCAACATTTTTAACTCTCATTTCGTTGAGTTAAGAATGAAATTGTAACGATTTCATCCTCTACCGATGGGTAGCAATTGGTTACGGGTAGTTTAGTATTTGGAAACCATGTTTTATAACATGGAGAACAAACTAAAGATTGAAAATAGCGTAAAGGGTCACCAGAGCTGTAATACCGAGAACTGCATAACCTGAAGTGTAGAGTTCTTTAAGGCCAAATCCAAATCCCATATCCCAAAAGAGATGACGTATGCCATTGGCGAAATGGAACCCAAAGCCAGATGCAACTAATATTTTAGATGTGATAATTAATATAGATGGGATTGAAGTCGACAATGATTCCAGCTGATGAGCAAATGGAGTTGAAGCAAACAGCTGACTAATACCCATAGCGTAAATTCCCACAGATAATGCAACACCACTAACCCGGTGAGATATTGATAGGACCGAGGTTAATTGAGGTTGATATATTGTATAAGGTGAAATAGGACGATTTAGCCGAGAATTCTTCGTAAAAAAATCTTGTTCAGGTTGTGATGGCGACGATGAGCTTGAAGCCATGGCTATTCTGGGAAGAACTGCATTAGCCCGGCCAAGTAGTTGATTGCTAATAGTTGCTCGAGCACAAATCAAACGTGGAAATAACATGATTTAAAAACAGTTGTATTTTACTCAGAAGATAAATAAGCTAAATGTTCCAAATTAGTTAAATCACAAACAAAATCCGGTTACCTTCAAACAAAATTAAATGACAAACAGAAAAGGGACTTTATACTAATTGTGGTTTTGTAGCATATTCATGAATAGCAATGTTCATAAAACCAAGTAATCTCTGGTTACTCATATTACTCTTTATTTTTAATTTTTCTGATGTAGAAATAAATTCGTGTTTTTTATTTCAAATCGTTTAAGTCTAAGCAAAATAATTCAACTGAAGGGCTTAAACAAGCTATTTTAATTAAGATTTAACATCAAAATAATGGAAGGATAAGTTAGGATAGTTGATAAAATCAGTTAGCAGTGGCTAAAATTGTCATTATTTTATCAAATGATGGGTCACTCAATTGCCCTTTCGATCGCAGTGAGTCCAGAGTTATACAATATTTGGGTGATTCTCGGTATTCTTTAATTGGTCCACCCAAATAATCAGGCAATTCTGATTTTGGAATATAATCAGTTATATCTTTACTTGAACAAAATTTGATTCGGTTCTTAACTGCTGCTGGATACCAAGTGAATGCTAGAGTTTTAAGTGCTCGAAGAACCCAATTCAAGTTGATTATGACAATGTACTTCTGTCCTGATGGAAAGTAATTTTTTAAACTGTAGTTGATGAAACTCAGCATTTCTGGGTCACCCTGAGCCAATGAAGCATTTGAACAGTCAAAGACAAGGACCCAACCTCCAGTTGATGGAAACCGTTCTGAACCCAATTCATCGGCTTTATACATGTGATAGACGACAAACTTTTTAACCAAATCAATCAATTCTGGAATTTTATAGAAATGAGAAACTCTTATATGGAGAACTGAATTATTCTGAACATCTTGTCCCGAAATGAATAATCCTCCTGATTCGTAAAGTTCTTTTGGAAATGACTGTTCATTCAAATGGTCCAAACCCAAATTGTGTCTCCACTCCAAAGTATTGATAATGAATTTGATGGACTCATTTGGATCACCTCGACGACGCTTCATATAACGACAAAGTAAATTGTCATCAGACATTAATTGTGTCAACAAACCTTTATCAATTTCATTTGAATCTTTTGTGATGGATAATAAATCATTTCGAACAGTCTTCATTGCTTCAATTGAATATTGACAAATATTTTCAAGTAATGAAACATTGTTAGTGATTTGAGGAGCCATTTTATTGTCAACGATCCAATTGCGCACACAAAACGTACACAATCACAGAATTAATTTTCGAACAGAAAAGGAAAGGAATTTGATTTAACGAGTTTGGGATGAAGATTAAGGCTAGAATATGAATTTATTTGCAGAAATCATTTGAAACACTTTCTGATTAACGACACGAATTGATATCAACGAACATCTGATTGTCTTTATTTTATTATCTGATCTTGACCAATGTATTTACATTGATGAGTAGTCGTGAGGAATAATCATTTGAACTGACAAACTTAATTCTAATGATGATCAACATGAAATGATGTACAATTCAATTGAAAAAGTCTTGATCAACAGGAACTTGATTTCTGCCAGTTTTTTGCTCTTCTATTCAATTCAATCAATCATCAATTAGTAATTAACTGCAATTTTCGATCAACTTATTGTTCTTTGCTTCATCTTTTATTGGTAATTGAAAAAAGTGCGAGAAAAAAGTTTGTCAGAATTTTTTGCGAATTCTGTTTCTTCCATTCTTCCTTTCACTATTTATTTCCAGGATAATACTTAAAGGCTTTGGTGACTTGGATTTCCAGCTAATTTAGTTTTTTACAAACTCAACACAATCACAGTTTACTTATTTTCATTGACACATTAATACTTCCGTCCGTTTCTAAAGGCAAGAAACGTTTATTGAGTTCTTTAAGGTCTGATTGTGAACTGAATCAAGTTGTCTTTATGTTGAGTATTGTCTATTGATTAAAAGGAAACGAATATAAAATTTTGATTAATTTCCAATGATTTTCCCTAAAATACAGATTTAAACCTCAAGTTAAACATTATTGTCTTTCATGAAAAACCTCTGATGGCAACTGATGACATTTAATTGTTTATGCATTCAGAATCAATATAAATTTTGAGAGAAACAAACATGAACATTGAAAGTGATTATCTTGTTGACCATCTAGAAACTGAAATCAGGTGAACTGGACTAAGAAGGAAGAAATGGGTTTTGTTAGGAGGAGCCAATAACTGTTACGTTGTAACATTCAGGATCACGCCATCAACCATTCATCATGAAAATACAAGTTGAGTGAGCAAATGGGGAAAGAAAAGGTCACTTTTGATTCTTTACTCCTTCTTTCGGAATGATCATGCACCAGATGATAAACATTTTGATGCTGATTATTGAATTCACTTTCATTTTCATTGCCTTTCCATAAACATACCGTACTAGTGATCAAATTACATTGGATTATATAATAATCCAATTGATATTTGATGATTTGTCTTCACTTACAACAACAGAGTACGAAAGTGTATTTATACTGTAAAAATCTTTCATTTTTTTCCATTTTCTGCCATTTTTTAGATTATCTTATTCACGTTAATCAACTTATTTTGCTTAATCAATTCCTGTTTTAATCTGTGATCTTAATCGTGTTATTTCCTTTTTCCTGGTCTAATTAACCTCATGTTCAAATGTAAATTAAACTGCAAACGTCAAATCCAATTTTATTTTTGTACTTAAAGTAGTCAACATTAAATATAATCTTGTGCCAGTGTTAATGTGATTCAGTGAAATGTCAATAAATCCAGGCAGTCTAGATAAACTGGACATGAAGACCATTGATTGGTCCACCAAACCCGGAGTCCCATTTACCTTCTCCTTTGAACTCATCAATAACATTGATGAATACATTGAATCATTGGGCTCTAATTACAATTTATGGATTGCAATGTCTCTTCTTTACATCATCACTATTTTTTACATTCAACATGAAATGAAATCTCGTAAACCATTAAGTTTACGCATTCCTCTGATTATCTGGAATCTTGGATTGACTCTATTCTCAGCTGCTACAGTAACAAGATTGGCTCCAGATTTGATATCAACTCTCACATCCAAAGGCTTTTACGCTTCATTTTGTGATGCTTCTTCATTTCATTCCGATCCACGTATTAAGGTATGGATTTGGCTGTTTAGCCTTTCAAAATTAGTTGAATTTGGTGATACAATATTCGTTGTCCTCCGCAAACAACCGCTTATCTTCCTTCACTGGTTCCACCATGCAATCACTTTATTGTACACCACGTTTGCAATTGGGTTTTACCTTCCTGCCTATGCTCGTTGGTTTATGACCATCAATGCAGCAATTCACACTCTAATGTATGGCTATTATGCAGCTCGCGCAGCTCGATTCAAGTTCCCCAAGTTCGTCAACATGTCCATCACTAGTTTACAAATAATTCAAATGGTTGCTGGTTTATTAATCAATGGCTATACTCTTCATAATCAAAGATCCTCTTCTCGTCAATGCGATGGACATCAAAATGCATCTATTTTTGGTCTGGCCATTTATACATCGTTTTTAATTCTTTTTTGTCAATTTTTTATCGCTTCTTACCTTAAGCCTCGAGAATGCAGGGAATCAAAAATGCTCAACAATAATAATGATTACCAAACTAGTAAGCGATTAACAAAAGCAGATGACTTGAAAAAATCAAATTAATTGAATAAATTTCATAATTATGTGTCAATTTTCATATTTTTTTGTTAAAATCTTTTCTATTCTTTATTGAAACTCCTTTTCCTCGTTGATATTCAATTGAAAAGGAAGAATTTATAATAAATTTATAATAATGGGAATCGTATTTGATAGTTTAAAACCAGCATTTATGGAATTTAATCAAATTGCGAGATTACCATGACCATTAGAGATGATCATTACCATGAGCATTAAATTGTCATCAACTTACAATTGTTTGGTCAATTATCATTAAAGTTGAAGAATAATCGTAGATTTATGACAATTTAGTGCTCACCTCTAAATTTTCAACCCGGGTATTTTTTGCCATTCATTAGTTAATAAAATGCTGGATTTACCTGCATTCACCAATTTCATTGCAATCAGCAAACATTTCCCCGAATGTTGCCTCCAAATTAACTTAATCATTGAATTATTAGCACAATTTCGGTATAAATGTCACCCATCAATGATGGTGAATCACGTTCTCACACAGGTTTTTCAAGATTATGTGTGAGTATCAACAGGAATGGTCATTGTAGTGCTCCAAGCTATGATGAGATTAATATTTGATTTGTTTAATTTTATATAAATTGTAACCGTGTTTCATTCAACCGTTTACTTGTTAATAAGGCAATCAAGGTCTGAGACGTCATTTAAAATAACAGACTAACATGTTAATATACAGAAAATACGTCAATGTAATTATCGTCTCATGTACAGACGAGTTCTAAATTTTATACTTTTAGTAGCATATTCATAGTATCTTATCCATTAATGTTAAAATTCATTTTAAAACAAAGGATTTCATGACACATTGATAATCCAAGTTGAGATTCTTGAATTACATTTATTGCAATACTTATCATTCCAATTAAATTGAAAGTGTTTTCTGCGCATCAAATGATAATTGTAATTACCGATAAAACCCTTGAATGACTTGTGCTAATAATCTTGATGTGAATTGAAATAAAGATGAGCTTCATGCAACTAACTGTTCAATTCTGCTCTTTACTCAACCCAGTATCATTTAATGTATTGAAAATAAACGATTTAATATAATGCCAATCCAGTTATTTGAGTCAGAAAATCATGCATCAAATTATGCTTTAGCTCGTCCCTCGCCTCCAAAATTACTGATTGATTCAATTGTTAAGTATCTACAATCGGGTTTACCGTCAAACAAAAATGGCTCTTGGACTCAGGCAGTCGATGTCGGTGCTGGTTCAGGTCAGACAACATTCTTAATCAAGGATTACTTCGATCAAATTCTTGGAGTTGATATAAGTGCAGCTCAAATAGGTGAAGCCAATAAACGAAATACTTATCCAAACATATCATTCAAGGTAAATATTGTCTTTACTTGATTAACCAAGTATCAACCAATTATTAATTAAAGTAAATTGCTATTTACTCTGCAGGTCTCTCGAGCTGAGTCAATCCCTTTAAGCGATGAATCCGTTTCCCTTGTAACTGCATCTCAATGTCTCCATTGGTTCGACTTGAAAGCATTTTACAACGAAGTTGATCGCCTTTTGGTTCCTGGCGGTGTGTTTGCCGCTTTTGGTTACTTCGTTTATCCAATCATTTCAATGGATAATTGTTCAGTTGACAATAAATTAGCTCAAGTAATCAAAAAGGCTTACACTGATTTAGAGGAGATGGGATACTGGGAACAACCAGCAATGAAGTTTCTCCATTCAAATTATGTTGATTTGAAATTACCTTTCGACGATTGTGTAAGAATAACTGGAATCAAATGTCCAGTTACTTATTCAGGTCAGAAGTGCCTTGATTATATCAAATCGTGGTCAGCTTATAATTCACTAGTCAAGAGTAATCCAGAAAAGGCCAAATTATTCATTGACGAAGCAGTTGGTCGAATGAAAAATATTCTCAATTGCGAAGATATTTATTCAATTCAAATTAATCTTACCTTTGAATTTTTTCTTCTCATGTCAAGAAAATGATTTATTTTAATTCCTCAAAGTTACTTCAAATAAATGTCTATCGATATTCAATTGTGTCTAACAATCTCATTACCACAAGTGACAATGTCCCATGTAAAATAACTGACTAATTTTATTATTTTGATTTAATAAAGCAGAATAACTTGTTTCAAGATTCAAAATCAATACAGTGACTAGTTTACTAATCATATAATAATGACTTTGGCCATTTATTTTCATTCAATACAATGTAATTAAATTACTGACAATATTATTAATTTATCCATTTTTTGACGTTTTGTTGTGTTTATTAGCATTTGTTTTCAATGAAGTCTGTTTTTGAGCAATAATTTGAAATTACAATAACTTATCAGAACTACATGGTTGATTAACATACACATTATGAGGATGATTTGATTAACGATTTATCCTTCTGACTTTTCAGACGCAACAGATTTCTCCTTCTGATTCTGGGCCCATTCAGGTTTTTCCTGGTTCAGATAATTTAATCAATTTATAATATTAGCCTTGAATTTCAATGTATTACAATAATAGCATTCATTAATATTTACCTCTGCCTTTTCCTTATCACCTAATGTGTATTTGTTAACCTGTTTCAGACCAGAGCGATAGTCCATTTGAGAAACTCGAGCGGTAAACATTCGAATCTTTTCCATTCTAAATTTAAATGATTAAAGATTATTAAAAGTATTCATTTGGGTAACTACAAACAATCAAAAACTTACTGTTGAGCAGTTTTGGACACTTTTTTCAATGGAGGTTTTATGCTGAAATGACAAACAAATTGGATTAAGTTTGGGTCAAAATGTTCATTTAGACTCATTAATGTTCAATTATATGATTAATGATTTTCTTTTGAATACTTACAAACGTCCGCGAACGTCATTAACCTTTGCTGCAAGTTCACGAACCTGAGGACAGAAATAATCCGTTACTGATCGAAACTTTGGACGAATAGAATCGAGTATCAATTATTCTTACCTCGAAATCTTTCTTATTAACTTCGTATTCCAAATCCCATTTTTGACTCTCGAGCCTCTTAATTCGTTCATAATACTCTTTAACGATGGCATGAAGTTGAGCTATGAATGTATAAGAAAAGGCAATATTCACAATTATATGTTGACATGATCTCAATAATGAAGATTAATGAAAATTAGTTTGAAGGAGTTGCTAATAGTTGTACAATGAGTGAAGTAATTGACAAATGTAAAGCAAAAGATAAACATTCAAGTCTCAACTGTCAACCATGAAACTTGGATGAAACCAAATTTCTGATTCATTTGTTTTTCTCTTGGTTCGTGTCAACACTAATCATCATCTTGATCAGCACGAAATGCACAGATCTACTGAGACATTAAACTAACCCTTTTTGGCTCATTTGACGAACTCAATTTTCAATATGAAAAGCTTATGTATTAAGCAAAGAAAAGCAAAAAACTATTTACTTTGCTTAATACAACAGTTCTTGTGACTTTCAGCAACTTGGCATTCATCATGAAAGGTTTTTTTTGACGAAAAATCAAAAGTAAAATCTTGATCTTGTTACAATTTAAGCCAAAAAATACAAAAGATTATTTACAAAAATATCCCTTCGAAAACAACGGTTATCTGGAAGGAAACATGAATAGCTTGAGATATCCTTGGAACTATTTTAACCCTGAGGATAACCCTTCATGATTAAACAGTGAACACTTTGTGTGTGCTGACGTTGCTTCCCTTTCATAGTGAATAATCATGATAATAATATAATCATCAACACCTACACAGAACCTTATTATCATGATTATATTGAAGTCTCTTGAATGTTCAAAGAGGCAACAAAGATGATTATAATCACGTAGATAAGATTAAACTGAGTAGAGCTCATTGAACATTCAATTTTTAGATATTCAGATCACTTTAGAATCTATTTTCATTTTTTTTTGCGCTTCTCCTCAAACCTCTCATCCAGTGTAATTAAGTTAATTGACTAAGCATATTAAATAACTATGATAAGACATCTAATAATCAACACATTATGATGAAGCAGATGATGATGATTGCATTTTAATTAATTGTTTCAATGAGAATGGAAAGAAATTAATCTTGGAAAGTTGACTGATTTCGTTCATCGATCAGTGATATCGATCTACAGAATCTTTGCCAATAATCTTCAACTGATTCTTTAAAATCACTTTGACATTATCGATCTGAACAAATCTTTGGCTTAAAACATTCAATATCCAATTTAAGTTGATGTATTTTCTGGTAATAATCCAGACAATGGATTGTTGCTACTTGTTTCAGATTCATTACAAGTTAATTTTATGCCCTAAATCATGATTAACAATAGACAAGAGGTGATATTGAAACAATTTGTTCAGTCTGATTCTTAGTGCACTTCATTTTATTACTTCATTTTGTTTCACTGATTCAATATTAATCATTTCAAGTGTTGATGTTGGTTTCATTGGAAAAGTTGAACGTTAATCCTTTCATGGATTATCGATACTTAATTGAATCTAATTCCTGTCTCACCATATTAATACAAACAGTTTAAGCGTAATAAATACTTGCATTATCGGCTTACCTTCATTAATTCCATCTAATCCTTTAGGTTCACCGGTTCGTTGTCGGATAATCTTACGTCGCTCTTCAGCTCGTCTTTCTTGTTCTCGTTTCAACTCTTCAGCAGCTTTTTTTCTCAATAAATTCTGAGGCCGAACAATCAATAGAAATTTTATTCAATAGCAATAGCGTTAAGAATAAAAGGGAAAATTGGCATTTAATCATCTGTAAAGCAGTCACTAATCAGTTAGCTTTCATTATTCAGTTTGATTAACTGTTCTACATTTGATCTTCAAGACTAACTCGTAACATTTTTTGATTCAAGTATTTCTATATTTACCCTTTATTTATGCTTTACTTGGCATTTGATGAGACAAAATTGCGTCAAAAATTGATAAATGTTGACAATATTTATCATAAGATTAAAATGCTTGTCAAAATAAACATAATTCAAGTGAAACTTACCCTGAGCTTCTTCTTGCGAGCGGGTGTCATGAAACCACGCTTCTTTTTGGCAGCAGCAGCTTGTTCAAGTCGAGCTCGAACCTCAGCTCGTCGTTTAGCTTTATCATCCTTAAGATGAAAAAAAACAATGTCAAGTATTAGTGCACTCAAAAGCATACTTATAATGAATTGTGTATAAATCTGATTAAATGTTCTGTTCACTTTTTACTGTAAAATTGATCAAAACAATATTCAAGAGGATTCAATAGTTGGGATTATCATCTAATCACCTAATCATCTTATCATTGAATTAATGATATAATCAAATCCACTTCTATCAATCATTAATCATCTATTCAATCTGTTGATTGAAGAGGATTAAACAAAACAAAACCCATTCCTGTAAAACCCTTTTTAAATGATATTAACAGCACTGATTAAATCTCTCGACATAATCAATCAATACAAATAAACTTGAGCTATCAATCGATCGATAAATGATCTTTGATTAAATCTGAATCATTTCATCAAAATTAAAATCAAATAATAACTGGAAGGATTGAAAAGAGTGTAATTAACGGTCAGTAACTTACCATGTTCAACTATTAATTTTAAATCCTCTGATTAACCAAAAACGATGAGCTGAATATTGAAAAGTATGAGATGAAAGAAAACAAAATAAAATAATTTTTTAATGAAATTGAAGCAACAGTTAAGATGGGGATGAAAATGCAGATGAGAAAAATAGAGTGAGAAGGAAGATGAGGGAGTTAATAAAGAACCGTTAATGTTTAAAATTAGGCTTAAGGGCGGTGTAAATCGGGAATAGGAACCACAGGCAAGATTGTGAGCAGTCAAAAATAAGGCAAGGAAATGACTGAAAGGCAGTTTAAGTCGAGGGTGGATGAGCTTGAGATGAGAATCTTGAAGAATCTATTTTTGAGATTCTTTTATTTTCATTTGATTTCTGAGTTAATCTGTAAACATGAAAGTTAAACGTTAGATTAACTTGGTTAAGTCATTTGATTTAAAATTTAAATGTTTTTTAGGTAAATCGTTGAAATGAATAAATTCTGTGGATGATGAATAGAGAAATATGAATGAATAAACAAAACTCTGATATTCCGTGAGCGAGTAATGAACAATCTTGATTCAAAATCTTCTGGAAATGAGACAATTTTCGGGTAATTTGATAAGAAATGATGCATTTTGCCAGTAGATATTCAACATTATTTTCACCCAGATTTTGGTTTAGATAAAGAAAGCTGGTAAAAAACTGGTTTAAATATTTTTTTGCCTTTTTAAATGCTTTACTTAATTTATTTTAATACGATATTAAATTACTTTTATTCAAATGATCATTACATTGCACTGCAATTATCCATGTTTGCTGTCACTCTTTAAACATTCAGTTTTCATGATAATAGACTTGGTGAACATTTGAATTGAAAATAAGAATTCTTTATCAATTAATAAACATTCTCAACATTTGAATTAGACTGATGACTGACTATAACTTTATTTTGAATAACCAACAAATGGTTTGATTGATAAATTGTCAAGTCAAGGAAGAAATGATTGATAAATTATTAAAATATCTAGTAACATATTTTTATAATTATAGTTGATCTTTACCTTGAGTCCAGGTTCAAAGATTATGATTGGAAATGATTCAACAGAGCAACAGATAACTAGATAATGTGAATATTTTATTATATAAAATTGAACAATATTTTACAGTTTTTGGAAGGAAAGTTTGCTTTTAAACAAACGATAACATGCTTCATGTTATTAATTATTGTACTTTTTTCATCTTTTTACCGGTCAATCGATTTTTGGCAATCTTCATGATATTTGAAATTGGCCATTCCACAACTGCGGGTAAAACTAGTGTTGCCAAAAGCAGGATGGTACCGATGCCAGTTAATGATATATACTGCGAAAATGATTAATTTCAAGTTAATAAACAATTTTATAATTGATGGCAAAATAAACGTAATAAATTACTTACCAATGGATATTGGCCTTTAGAAAAATGAGTTCTGAATGTTCCGAAGAAGATGAAATAAGCCAATGGATGGAATAAGAAAAATTGATAAGAGACATTCGATAAAACTTCCCAAATGTGCCAATCGGCAATTTTCGTTAAAATGGGGAAGTCATTGGAATAAGATGAATAGAAAATCCATCCAAGACAAAGAGCCCAAATAGTTCGATGTAATGCTCCATAAGCAGCAATACCGATTGTTGCATAAGTGTCAACATCATGGTAAAAGAAAGGAACCTTAAGGACAAACAGCATGGCCCCAATGACTAGAGTGTGGATTGCGATTTTCGTGACCTAAACAATTGCAAACAGTTAGTTTATTTTCCCTTTATTCAATCATTTTGAGAATACTGACCTTAGATAATTTGAGTTGATGGCCACTCATGGTGAAATAGCCAAAAAGCAGTCCAAGTATATAAGGATCAGCTCTGAACCATGGCTTAGTGTAAATGTGAGAGAAATAAAGGGTTTCACGAGCTCTGTTACCAAAAAGTACAGTCGGTGGATAATTATAAAAGTATGTCATTACTCCTTTGGCAGCAATTGACAAAGCGAGGAAAATCAAGTTAAGTGTTATGGCCAATCGAGGTTTACTGTTGATGAACAAAATAAAGTTGACGTTAGTAGATGAGAAGAGATGTTATTGTGAATAAACTTACATGGCTCCCAGAATGATGAAGAATACAAGACTAAAGATGAAAAGTTGCATATCTAATCCAAGATACCATGAATGGAAAGCACACTGAAAAGATACATTTTAGTTAATTTTATATTCTGGAAATTCATTGACGCAAGTTGAAATTTTATGCTTACATTTGGCTCTTCAGGGTTCCAAGGTAATACATTTGTTAGCATGAGTATATTTGGAAGCCATTGGTTCCTACATGGACTCAGGAATTTATCTACATATTCCCGCCAAAGAGGACCAGCAATGAAATTTTCTGACCAAATATGCATCATCATAAGAAAAACAAGCGATGGAATAATCCTGTTGATGAAAAATGAAGGAGTATTAACGAATGATTACTTTGATAGGTAAATATATAAATTACCTCATGTATCGATAACCCAAAACGAAAGCAACATTTGTTAAATAACTTGATAGTCTAGCGCGCTGCTCAAAAAGCTCTCTGAATCGAGGGAAAACAACCTTTACCGAAATGAATGCACTGCAAATAAGAAACGAAAAATAGTTTTTAAAATCAACAATCAATAACTTTAGTATGAAATTAACTGAAAACAAACTTACCTAGTGAAGAGAAAAAAATCAACAGCGAGGAAACCAGCGTTGACTACTGCTTGAAATGGACCGGCAAGCATGTAATAGAGGCCAGTAATTGAGTCTACAAATTGAAAAATTGAGCAAACAATTCGTTATCATAGAGGTTTAAGTTATGAATTAAATGAATACTTACTAAGAGAAACAAATCTAATTGTGAGAGGACCATGACCATGTAGTACGAGCAACATGCAAATAGCTTTCAGAACGTTGATAAACCTTGACTTTTCTGGTGTTGCGTTTTCGACCAAAATGGATCTTAAATTTCGTGGAGCTGAAAATGATGTAATCATTTCCACCCAAAAAGGTTTAGCAACTTCTTCGTCATTTCCAACAACTCTGTCGAGGATTGTACCAGCAATCAGAAGAGTAATCAATGCGCCAAAAGTGAATCTAATCAATAAAGTTAAAGAAAAATCAACATGAGAAGCTTGAAAGAAAGTTTGAATAAACGAAATATCTTCAATTAAATAGCAATTATTAAATTGGCCGATTAATTAATGACCCCAAAGTTTTAAGATGTGTGAGAAATCTGTATTCAGATAACCCTTCGATCTCAAAAGTTCATTTCAATTGTTTCTTTGGGTTCCTTTGAAAGTATGTAAAGAGCTGCCCTCTGACGTAATTGAATAAAACTAGATTACAAAGAAATATTTGTTCTTATTTGTTTCAACTAATTACAATAGAGGGCAGCTCCAGTAAGAATTGTTCATTTTTTTCATTTTTTTCAGCCACATTTAAAACTCTGTTCAACCAACGATTTCATTAAAAAGTTTCTTCTCTCAATTTTTTGCGTTTAAAATTGATAAAATGAAGTGCGACTGGAATATTTGAGATAAAATGCTTAATTAATGGTTAATAAACTAATCCCTTTATACTGATGAATGCTCTGAAACACAAAATCTTTCTCAAACAAATCAGCAAATGGATTACACTTGCAATTGCTTGAAAATTTCCCATCGAATTAAAACTTGATTGGTTGATCATCAAGATCAGGAATTAAGATAATCAATGAGTCTGGATTAATTTAATTCTCTTTCAAAATAGGTGAATTCATCCAAGTTTCCAATTTTTTCATCATTCATTTCTATTTTCAAAATATTCTAATTCTTGTACCGAATGTCTTCCACCAAATAAGGTTAAGCTAACAGAATACTCAACCCTGTAAAAAAGTGAAACAAGAATAAGGTTGAACTGATAACGTTACCTGATGAGTGAAGGAGTTGATGCTAATTGCCATTCCTCGGGTCCATCACAACCGGTAACTTTTAATCCGACCAAGTCATCTGTAATTAAAATCATTTAAAGTGTCATTGAAAAAAAAGTGATTTCTTCATTAGAAATAAAGTCATTAAAATTGATTACAATTAATAAACGAAATTTTCTAGAATCAAAGTTGCCTTGATTAATATTTTGATAGACCTTGAGTAGTAACAAAAATAGTAATTCATTTTGCTTGATTTTGAGAAAAACATTCCGATTGGAAAGTCCTTCATTGTCAGGTTATTTAATCCAGAAAATATTTGCCCTGTTTTGCACTAACATCAGTTGAATAACAGCACTTGGCAATCAATTGATTGTTTTGTCGTGATCATTCAAAACACAATCAAGTGACAAAATTGAATAATTTCAAATCTTTGTTAATTAAAGAAATTAATTTTACAACCAATGCTGTAACCAACATTTTAATAGTTGTATAACAGGGGAAAGTCATGACTTAACTTACCTTCAAATTTGGCTTTCATCAAATTACTCAAGTCATCCTTTGAACAAGCAGTTAATGAACAGAACCCAAGTCTACTGATTTTTTCAGCTTTGAAACCTCGAAGATGGTTCTAGATACAAAAATAATCATGATTAAGTTAGTAATCGCTTTTGAAATGTAAAACATATGGTTAAATGAAAGTGAATTAACCTCTCAAACCTAAATATTTTTAATAATCAACATTGATTAACTTTTCTTGAACAATTATGATCTACAATCAGATAAATAATGAGGTCAAGATCATAAAACTGAAAGTGATTTAACATTTCCCTTTCATTGCAACTGATTAAATAACATGATCGTCTTACTAATTTAGCAATCAACGTGATTATTAGTAAATAATACTTAAGGCATTGATACAAAGGAAGATACAATCTTAATGATAAATTTCATTTGATATATATTTTTCAACACCAAAGGTCATTATAACCCTGAAATTTGATGAACTAAAAATGATTAACCTTGATTTGTGAATTCATTAAGATAGTTAAATTTGGTAAAATAATAAAAATAAATTTCCGGGCGACTCCAAACCTTGACATCGATTCTGATCAGGAAATGTAACATTAACTGTAACAACTGAAACTCATTGGAAAGTGAAACTATCTTGTAACCTTTTCCAAATCTTCAATTTCATCTTTAAAATATTTCCAAATCACAAGATTCAGATTAAAATCACTGAAATCAATTTAACTGGAAAAAAATGTTATTACCTGTTGAGACAAACTAGAATTGTCTTGTTTGAGGGAAAGAATGACCGTACAGTATCGACCAGTAAAAATTGGTTGGTTTCCATCGGCATCAGCCCATGGATCATTTTCAGTTCCAACTTTAAGGTTGACACATTCATCAAAATCACCCATAAATTCAGTGTTTCCTTTCATGACTCCATAGATGATTTTACCTTGAGCATCTTCGACTGAACCATTCAACAAGATAAAAGATGAAGAGGTTAGAGTGGAATCAATAATCTAAATGAAAAAACTTACGTTCATGAGCCCAAGTGCGATCTTCAAATCGAGCTTCTTGATTTTTGGTAAAAAACTGTTTACATTGTTTACCAATGGGCAGCTTATCAATTTCATCGGCAAAAGATGATTTGGTTAATGAACTTGTATCGGGAAACAAAAAGGACTGAATCGATTTGGCCTTTGATACCAATAACTCTCTTTCCCGTCCCGAAATGTAATTGTGTCCATGTTTGTTATAAGATGACTGTGAAGCAGACTTGATGAGCACTGGAAGCAAAGAAGCGATCAAGATGAATCCTAAGAGTGACCACTTCATCGCTGTTTATTATTGCAAAGGGTAACAATCAAGAAAAGTTTGAAGCACGAGAATAATCTGCTGAAAGGTGAATTGAATATTGACTGATAGGAAAAGTTTCACCGAGACACACAAAAGTTACAGTGAATTGATGATTAAAATGATGAGAATAGTTATTTGGATAAAAGTGACACAAGGAGTAATTAAGTAAGGGAGCAATGGGAGGAGAAGCCCTCTATTAGCTTACATTTTATCCTCTTTACTTGCTTATGGCAAGGAAATGATCAGGTTTTACCGAATCTCAGAGACAACAAATTATTAACTTTCATTATTAATTCTCACTCACGCAATTAACAGCTGCTCATGGTTCCTTACAAATTTTGGGTTAATTCATCTCGTCCTGCCTCTTGAATATTTTCATGAATCAAGGAAGAGTATTAATATGAGAAGGAAGCAAATTATTGAAGCTAATAAGGCTTTCGATACTTCAACTTGACCTGATTTTCATGAAATAACGCCTAAGGTAAAAGTGAAGGCAAGGTAATTTGAATAACTTTACTGGTGACTTTGCTCTTATTTATCTTAATATTTCATTTGTTCCTAAATAACTGATATATTACATAATTTTAAAGATTAGCAAGGATTAAAGTAATCTTTGATTAACAGCTCAACAAATCAACTCATTTTTCTTCTATTTTAATGTCTACATCAGTTACAATGTTACGAGTTGCACAAAAAACGTTACGTGCAAAACTTTTTCACTTTTTTGTATCAAAATTTAATTTGAAATCAGCTTGAAATAATTTTTATCATTTGTTTAAGGCAAATAATACTGTGATAAATTTAAGTTAAAAATATCTCAACTTAAAATGCTTAAATATTTTGCTGAAAATTATATCATATTTAATAATGAAAATAAAGATCGCGAAAATTGTAAAAAGATAACAAAAAACGGTAAACTATTGACGAGTTTGATGAAAAAGTTGAGTTTTGACATTGAAAATGAATTTCTTGTTAAATGTGATAATCTTACAAACATCGACAAAATCTAGGTTTACTTAGCTTATCATAAAAAATTGGCTTATTTGCAAAATATTGAGCCTAATCACTGATTACTGATTAGTAATCAGTATCTAATAGTTGATATCTGATATCAATATCTGTTTTCGATGGCGTAAGTCATTGGAAGCAGACTTGGTGATAAAATATCTTCAAGAGTTTAAATAATATTTTTGGACAATATTTTCATTGTAATTTTACATCATTTTACATGTTATCAATTTTTAAGTGGACCTTTTAAAAGGAATCTTTATTCATAATCTGCTTAATCCATGTCAATAGCCTAAAGGAAAAATCGAGAAGCACAGTGATGATTAAGAAACAAAGGGTGTTGCGGGTAAGAGCTTACAATCATCTTATCCCAATGGCGATAAAGATTAAAATGTCCAATAGAAATCTTAACCTTTACCGTTGGTTGGATATTTTCATGTTTACCCATTTTTAACCGCCATTTAGGTAAGATGATTGTTCTTTCACGCAAGACCATTTAGAAATGAAGAATTGGTAAAATTTAAATCCAGATATTCCTAATTTGATTCAGTGGTTCATGAATTATATTGATAATATTAATCGAAAGAAAAAAAAATGAATTATATCTGTAGCTGAGTGAATAAACCTTCAAGAAATAAAGATACTTAATACTGAATTTTTCTGTAAATTTGTTCAAGGCCATCTCATTTAATTTACATGAAGTTGATAATGCCTTAAGGAATAGTTCAAATGATTCAATTCGTCATAGTTATCAACAACTAAGCTAAATAGTCATAAAGTAGTTACAGTTACAACTGATTCTCGGTTATAATTTTACACAAAGATTAAAATCTTATGACAAAAAAACAATACAGTTTAATCATGTAGCTGTTCAGTTGTAGCTAAATAATAATATAACAAAATAATTGCATAATTTGATGGCAAAGGTGAAGCAGTATCTTTTAGGCATCTCAGAAAAAATATCTGAATGAAGTTTTTGTTGAATGATTTTTATTATTTCAATATAATAAGATGGGTGCAACGAGCTTCGAAACATTATCATGAAGAAAAGTAAATTTTACAATTTGAGGACCAGGTAAGTTACATGGGATGAGTGACTGCAGCGGTAACTAACTTCATGTCATCTCTAAATAGATGGTCACCCTCTAAATGTCGAATGGCCTCAACTATGGTATCAAGATTTTGTCGTGAAGTTGTATTAGGAATAGCAGCTTCGAGTCTAGCAGTGGCGTCTCCGATTGAACCGATTATCCGAAGAGTTACTGTTGTTGGTCCAGTCGTTTCATTGCCTACAAAAGGTACATCTATTGGAAGGGCGATGGCTGCAGGTTGCGCAGATTTTTGATTAGCCTTAGAAGGTGTCGTTGTCATTGGTACCGATGAAAGTTTAATTGGTTTGGTTGACAAATCTTGTGGTGTTTCTCCTCCAGTTGGACTTGGAGGTGATGAATTAGGATTACTTGTTGGTGCTGTAACAACAAAGGTAGTTTGATGAAGGGGGCTATCTGGACAGCTATGGGTTTCGATTTCAATTGTCTCAGCAACAATTTCATCATTGACAACAGAAGAGACAGCAGCAGCTGTCTCTTCACTTGCAGAAATATGGCTGTCCTGCAATAAATTAAAACAAGCCATAAATAATTCTTTTCTATATAATTTTAATATAGACGAACGAAAAAATCTCTTACCTCAGTATTTGAATTGAACTGTAAATGAACTTGTTGAGCTATCTCTTTGATTCTTTCTGGATATAATTGAGCTTCTAAGGCTCTAACTTGGTCTTCTAATTGCATCCTCAAACGCCTTTCTCGGTCTAGAACTTTTCTAACCTCGACCAGATCATTTTTTAACTCGTCGACATTTATTTCACTTTCATTTCCTGAGGTGGTGGTTGTCCGAGAATTAATTTGACATTGTATACCTTCATCTGAGGAATCTGATTCAATTATACCAGTATTGACAATTTTCACCTTTTTCAGAGGTGCAACATTTTGAAAAGAACCATCATTTTCTCCGCTACAATTTTGTGATCGCTTCAATTGGCATATTTCAGATAGTAAACGAGTTTTCTCCTGCTCAAGTTGATGAATGTACTCAGCTGTGTGCTGCAATATTGCCGCCTAAAATGAATTGAAAAAAGATAAAGATGAAATAACATACCAACTAAATAATAACCAAGCTATTTTACGACTTTATTTACACAAAAGACGAAAATTAGCTTAGAAATAAAGACTATTTTAATAATATTACCTTGCTAAGTTTCTCTCCATCATGTTTAGGAAGCATGGTACGCAGAGAATTGAAACCAGCATTGATGCTTTGCATCCGTCGTCTCTCATTGCTGTTGGCAATCTCTCTTCTTACCCTCTTTTCGTGTTCAAGCTGGGATCTTGGCGATAGTCTTGACATGTTGACAATAGGTATAGAGAAATATTAATAACGAGGCAAAAATTATATCACCATATTTGAAAAAATTAAATAAAAAAATTAATCAACAAAACTAGTCAACATAAATCAGATGTGTTTGTACATAACAAAAAGTCAAGCTCTACCTTCTCAAGCTCACAGTCTTCCTACCCCCCTCTTTTTTCCCTTTTTTACTTAACACACTCACGCATCTACTCTGCTTTCTACTCTGCTTTCAGTCTTTACTGTGAAAGCAAATATTTCCTTTATTCTGCTGCATTGACGCCATTTTGAAGACGAGATGAAATTGTATAGATTGTTTTGCTTTTACTTGCAGTTTTAATATTTCATTAAATAATTTGTTCATTTGTCCTTTAATTTAAGTTATTGTCTTTTTGATGATGAGACCAATGTTCACTCAATGTTTAAACAGCAGTATGTGTCCTCCTCAGTGTCCACCGGGTCCAAATTCAGGACCTCCTGGTCCAGGTCCAGGCTCTGGGCCTGTTTTAGGTCCTGGAAGTGATCCATTTTATCCACCGCCATTTTCTCCGTATAATAGGCGCCTCAACCATAATTGTACTGATCTAAGAATTCACGAATTGAACAAGAGGTTACAAAACAAGCCAGAGGTAGAGTATTAATTAAATCCTGTCCTGTTTTATTTGGATATATTGCAATACCAGTAGTTATCTCATCGCTGTTTTTCCTTAGGAATGTGACAATGTTTTTTGGGATAATTTGACAACTGACTTCTTTGAAGAAGATGCCACTCTCACGTTAATATTATGTCTTGAGGATGGAATTAAACGTTTCAGTAAGTCAATTTTGCAAATTTACTCTGCCTTTTACTAATGCATTTTCAAAATATTTATTCAACAGCAATTGGTAGAACCCTTATACCTCGCTATTTTCGAAGTCTTTTTGAAGGAGGTGTTACTGATCTCTCATTTAATCTTAGAAATCCAAAAGAGTCATATCACAATTCATTAATTACGCTGGACTGTGAGCAATGCTCCATGATTACTTATCATGGCAAATTTAATGTTAATAAGACACCCATGGGCAATTTTCCTCCTGGAGTTGATTCTCAACAGGTTAAAGATCAAATGCATATAACTAAAGAGACGTCGGTTGTTGTGAATACAGAAGGTCGATTAACACTGGAATTCACTAATGATGATCTCATGCGTATAAAGTCATGGCTTTTTAATACTCGAAGTTACCAAGAACTAGTACCGAGAAATTTAATTAATATGTATGCCCAAGATCCATCAGCTTTAGAGCGATTCAGTAAAGATATCACTAGACAAGGTTTTACAAACGCAACATTAAACTATCTTAGGGTAAGTTCAAAACATTTTCATTTATTTCATTGCATTGTGTTGTATTTAGTTTGTTTTTCTGTATTTAATATGCTGAATAGATTGCATGCTTAACTTTGAAAAGTTTATCAGTTGAAAAATTTCTTGAAATATTCATTATGGAATCAGAAATTATAAACCGCTTAAACTTTGTTAGTTATTGAATTGAAACTCTTGCAAATATCATCTTTTTAATCTCGATTCCTTCTGTTTTGAATTCCATTTATCATATTTATTAACTTATTCATTTGACATCTTTTATTTTCAGCTTTGCTTAATTTTAGAGCCAATGCAAGAGCTAATGGCAAGTCATAAAAAATTCGGTCTCGATCCTAGAGACTCACTTAAGCAAACTCTATATGCAAAATGGCAAAAAACTGTGACTGACCGACCTGATAGCCAAAGACCAGTAAATAAAAGAAGAAAACGGAAATCTTCGGCTTCAAATAATGCGAATGGTGGTGGTGCAACAGGAAAGAAGAAGAACAATACATCGATTTCTCCAGGACCCCCAAGCTTTTCATTAGCTTCTCAGGTAAATATAAATATTTGACTGCGAAAGCAGGGTGCATAGTCACAGTATTTCTTAGGATGTTATGGTAGTAGGAGAACCTTCCATGATGGGCGGAGAGTTTGGTGACGAGGACGAACGCACGATTACTAGACTGGAAAATAGCCAATATGACCCAAATGCATCTGGAGTATCGAATGGACTTGAGGATGGTGACGATTTCAATTCTCTCAGTCGAGCGCCAGGATCCGGTCAAGGACCAGTTCAAGGACCAAATTCGGGATCTGGACCAGGCCCTGGACAGCAAGGAAACCTTGGGCAGCCTCATGGGGCTAATATTCCTCCGACAGGATGGTCGGGACCCGGAGGACCCGGTTCAAATTCAGGACCTGTGTCCTCCAATCAAGATAACAGAGGAAATAATCAAGGAGGAAGTGGACCTCAAAGTTCACAAGTCGATAAAAAGCCATCTCCTTTGAATTAATGCGTATATTTGAACATTATGTTAATAATTTATTCAAATTTGAAACGCTGAAGTTTCTGTCTGATTTTAACAAGCAATGTCATTTAAATTTGATCTAAATAGTACAACAAAATCGAATATCTCGAGCTTAGATTATTTCTAAGTTTGTAAATAAAGATATCTGCTAAATTAAAAAAATTAAGCACAAAACCTAAATTGTGCAAAACCTTAAGTTTGCTCAAATTGTCCATAAGTATTGTAAGTATCGGCTTGAAATATAATTTTCCTTTTTTAATTTTAGTTTTCAATTTTTATTTCAATGTTTGACATTTATTTTATAAAATTTGTAATTGACTTTAGTTTAAATTAATTTAAATTTAAATAAGGAATCAAATTTACTTTGAGTACTTAAATTATTTTATTTGTTTCTCATGAGTTTATTTCTGCGGAGGTAAATCGTCGATTCTTTCAGCCTGTTTTTTAGTATGGAACCAAAACTTTTAAGGATGGCGAATTTTATCATAGAATTGATTCAGTCCACCCCAGATTGTTTCCCACCAACTTGACTGTTCCTCATTAGGATTATAAATAGATATCCGTTTCAAGTATTGAATAACATTCGGATCCGACATTATTGCCATATGATCTACACCTTTGAAAGTGGTATAATGAACTGGTTTTAATTGTTGTTGCTGCATTCTTAGACAACCTCTCAAACTTGCAAGATTAACTGTTCCATCTCCATCACTTGATTCTGCCAGAGGATCATGATTTGGAAAATTCTCATAACTATAACGTAAGGAGCTCATAGTTTTCAAACCAACACCATGTAAACAATGAACTGTGACTTCAGGGGAGTCCATAGATTGGGTCAACTCTTTGGTGTCTTTCCACATTTCATAACCAATAGGATAATTGATATCGTTGAAAAATTGCTGATAGTCTGCTACAGTATAGTTTTTGCGTCCTGTCGATAACAAAGTTTGATGAGGAGCCCAAAATTTGTCACTTGGAAGTAAATAAGCTAAACTTGGGAATGTTCTTTCTTCTTTTCGAATGGTCAATGCTGTTATAGTAATAACGCCAAAATTATCACCTGAAGCATATGCTTTAAGTGCCTTTACTGCTCCACCCCATGCACCAGCTAATGTGACAAAACTTTTGACGTATTTATTTTTCCAATAGAATTTTTGACGATTCAGAAAATATAACATTGTTGGACAACCGAGGGAATGGCAGACGATCATAACTTTTCGTCCACCGTTAATGGTATACGTTTCTTCAACCAGTGATTTGAAATTTTTGTAAAAATCGTCCAATTCAACTGACAAGTAAAGACGGACAAACAATTGTTAAATTAGTGGATTTGCTGATTAAAATGTTTGATTAGGCCTTTTCCAAAATATGTAATCATTATTTGTGCATTTAATAATTACAATTTTTAAGTTTAAAACTATCACAAAATCTGTATATGAACTTAACTTAACTGATTTTCGTAGCTGCATTAAATTTTTAGTTTTTGGTTTCTACTTACGTGGGGATTTACGGAAGTCATAAGGAGCACCACGGATATTGATGCCTCTTTGATAACCAATTTTAACCATTTCGGCTACAAGGACATTAAAATAACCTGCGAGGGAAACTTGACTTGGATCAACATATTCAACTGTCGATGTATTACCAAATCCTGGGACCCGAATCGAAACCCCTGGCGGGTTGTGAGTTTTCCTAGTTTCAGGATCGTATAACAATCTCATATTATCCACCCAGCAATCAATTACATAAGGGACTAGATCAGCTAAATTTAACCATAAAGTGAAATATTCGCTCGTCTTTTGTTGGCATATGTAATGAACCACTTCTGGCTTATCAACTTGAGCTTCCAATTGGCTTCCACCGTCACCTGGAACTGATAAAAATGAAACAATTTATGACACCACGTTTTTAATTAACTTCAATTCTGCCAAAAATTAATTATGATTTGATATGAATGGATATGACAGACAATGTTTGGAATCAACTGGAAGCACACACATCGATTTTTCTCATTCGAGAGGATCATTAGGTTATTAATTGATAATTAACACAATATTACACCACAACAATTAAGAAATAACAAACTGCACACATTAAACAGATTAATGTATTAAATTACCAAGAATAATTGGACTTTTGGGTACATCATTCACTGTATTGGATGGATTGAAATTGGCATCCTTTTCATTCCACCAAAACCAATTCCAAGATGAAGCATGAGACAAAGTGAACAGAGATATGAAAAATAAACAGCAGACTAGAATTGTTTTGACCATCAACATTGTGTCCAAGGTAAAGGGTTGAACAATGGACAATTATGTTTTTCTCGATCAACAATAAGTAGATGGTAACACAAATAGACAAAGAAAATAGAAATTGTTCAAGTCAATGATTGGTGATAAAAAATTTACACTGATGTTGTTGAGAAACTTTATTATCATGTAACCACTAGCACAGCACTTTTGTTAATGCTAAGGTCATCACTATGAACAAGATGACGATGGAAGGGGAGAAATGAAAAAATATTATCTGCCAAGAAGACGATTGAGCCAAAGACAGAAATGATGCCAATGTTCAAGTTGAAGCAAGTTGAAATGATACAATTTATGTAACTTTCGCAGACATTTATCTCAATTCACTTTCTTTTTTCACCTTTCAACTCACCTGACCGGATGTCTTTTATATCAGTGTTACCTCTTAATGCTCTCATTTGAAAAAACTTGAATCATTTTGAAGCCAACAAATGCAGTGCAATGCCACTGTACAAAGAGCAATACTCTTTGGGTTATAATGCGATAAGTCAAGATATCTTTATCAATTGTTTTCCCTTTTACTTTAAAAAATGAAAAAAGATTAACCTGCAAATCTTATGGTCATTCAACAAAGTCTGTTTCGTAATTAAAAGATTGTCAAGATATTAATTGATAAAGCAATTGACTGACAGTTTTCATTTCAAAATTTTCTGACTCGAAATTTTTCATCTCATAGCTATTTTGAGTACAACATGAACGATGAACCAAAATATTTCAACAGTTACTCAGTAAGACCTTCATTTAACATAGAGACAAGAGTTCACAATCAATTTTGAAAAATTTTGTATCTTAATACAACCAAGCAAGATTAAATAAATGAATTAACAATGATTTATGAGATAATTTAGAAAAAGATTAATTTCTAAAAGTAAAAATAGATGCTAGATTTGTCTTCAAAATCTTGATTACTAATTATTGACATTTCATAACGAATTACATTAAATTTCAATGGTTAAACAAGTTAATAAAAGTTCTAATTAATCACATGATCCATCTGGAGGGCCATTTAACCATCTTTCATCGACTTTGGAGCAATCGAATATTGGTTTAGCCAATTTCTGGTTTACTTTGTTGTGAAGATTACACATCCAGAGAGAAAACGATTGTCTTGTATCAACTTTCGGAGGATCCTTTGAAATATCATTCCTCATATCTGCGGCACAATGCGAACAGGGATAGAAATTTGAAAAAATATTCATAAATTTCATCATTTCTGATTGTTGCTGAATCGTTGGTTTATCAGGATAGTAAGCAGCCATAGTGTGTAAAAATGTCCAACTGGCTCGTCCTAATCCATCCTTATCAACAGGACAATCGATGACATGATTGTTGGCCGAATTAGCATGAATTTTGGATTTATTAAAATCACCTTTATTTGAATTCCTTCTATTATGATTAATGTCACCATTTGATTCATCAGGAGACTTGAATGAAGATTGAGCCTTCATGAAAGATTTGAAGCTAGTACAAGCTCGACATGATTCACGATAGTCAGACATTTTTGAACTCAATTTGAATGAATAATTAATCAACAATAAATAATTAAACAATGAAAAATAGCGCAATTATAAACCATGTTTTCTGATGTAACCGGTCAATGCGTATTTATCACAGAAAAAATGTGAGTCGTATTTGTCTCCCAATCAGCTGTGAGTTTGTGGATTTATTGGTTACATTCAACATTTTTATTAATCCACCTTCAATCTCTATTTCTTTCCACAATTTTATACTTATTATTTAATATTTTGATGTAAATTGTGAATGAGAATCACTTGGTTTCATCAACTGCAGTTTTCACCTATGTTTACAGACACTAATGATTTTTTTTGGCAATAGGAATTGACTCACTGTCAACATCCCTTAGCCTTTGGTGGTTCATGCATTTCTGTTTCGTCAAACTTGTGATATTTATTAATCTTAACCTGACTCATTGTCATAAATATTGCCATCACCATTGACCTATTGTGATCGAGCTTCTAATTGTCCCTGTTATTCACTAATTCTCTCCTGAGCATGTCGACAATCATTAAATCTGACGATGATTGCTACTTTTTTTTCAACGCAACGTGTACCAAAGGCGAAGCTTGTCCTTACCGGCATTCCGACGCTGCTTATGGATCAGATGTTGTTTGTAGCTTCTGGAGAGAAGGAAAGTGTATTAAAGGTGCTAGTTGTAAATATCGTCATATGGAGATACGTAAACAGCGTGGCAAAGTCGAATGTTTCTTTGAAAGGCAACCCGGTGGATGTAAGAAGCCACATTGTCCTTTTCTCCATAAATCTCCCCTTAAAGCAACAAATGAAGATGGTTCGGAACTCGTTAGTGAATCTGGTGGGTAATCATTAAATTATCTTATTAACATTCTTGTCTCATTTATTCTCATTTATTCTCTTCCATTCTTTTTGTTTCCTGGTTTTAGCTGACATTCATTCGGCTCCTAGTGATAATCTTACTTCTACTAAAAGTTCACCTTTCCAACCAGACCAGGAATTTAAAGGTGAAGGAGATATATCTACTACACTTTTGTCAAACATTAACGAAAATTTGAAATCCTGTGTTTCTCCACCATTTTCACCTACCTCTAAACAACCTGGTTCACCGTCATCAACTGCAGCAACAATTGGCTCTGAACCAGTATCATTCAACATTGATATAGCAGAAGAGTCAGAAAACGAACCTGAAGAAGTTGGTAGCCTCGAGAAGAAACCTATAAAATTAACTGCCTCTAATAACCAATCTGGAAAAAATTTCGGTGTCAAGACTTTAGAGCAAATTAGGATGGAAAAGGTATTCAAATCAAATGATGTGAATAAAGAGTCACCACCTGAACCTCCAAATACATCTAGTAAAGTGTCTAGGATTAAATTAAAGAGAAAAACTCTTAATACGACCAATAACGTTAACACAACAAACGATGGTTCATCAGGATTAAATGAAAACGAAAGTAAACCCGGTAGCCTTGGATTCGGCGTCAAATCTCTTGAAGAGATACGTAGAGAAAAGGAACAAGCTCGACAAACGCCAGAACAGATCCCAACTGAGAATGAGGGTAGCAATGTTATGCCCAAGAAAATAATTAAGATAAAAAGGACACATTTAGGAACGAGTAAACCGGAAGAACCTCCATCAAAGATAGTTAAGCTTCGGAAGCCTGGTTCTGAAGAAAGCACTATAGCTTCCAAACCTGTAACCAAATATAATTTAATTCCGTCAACGGATAATCCTGCTAAAGTACAATCATCAGAAAACTCTACGCAACTACTCCAATCTAAAACACTGTCAACAACTCCTTTATCTATCAAACCTACGACACCAATGCCATCACCGCCAAAACTAGGAACGGCTGCATCCCCGGTAGCACCATCACTTGTGTCTTCAACTCCTATAGCAGCGGTTTCACCGCAGAAACAATCTCAACCCAATAGAGTATCTATCAAACCAGAAATTCATAAACTTAAAAAAAGTGTTTCAAAACAACTAAACGAAATTGAAAAATCAAATCTAGGTGGTAAAGGATTAAAGACGCCAACACGTGAACAAAAGTCATCTAGTTCAATTAAAAAGCATAACATTATGTCGTCCGCAGTGACGGATATGCCGACACCGAATACACATGAGAGTCAGCCCTTCAAGAAAAGTAAATTAAGTTCTTCACCTAGCCATGATAAATCAGAATGGAATGAGGAGCTTTGCGAAAAAGCATCAGAAGATGAAGTCAATTTGCTCCAGAAAGACGAAGATCTTCTTGAAGATGATTTACTCGATGATGAAAACGGGGAAACAGCTCCTGAAGGCGTTAATATCGAAGATGAAGATGATGAATTTTTGAAAGAGATCGAACATGTTATTAATAGCTAAACTTAATAAATTCTTTCATTTGTACAGTTATTCGCTTTTCTTTAATCTTTAAAAATCAGTCTGCATTCTAGATACTACGGTTTCCTGTTCGCCTATGATTTTTGAGAAAAAAAATCAAATTCAAATTGTAATATATATTAATCAAAATAAATTATGAGGGTAAATTAGCGAATACCAATGTTTAAATGTATTCAAATTTCAGAAACTTTAGAAATGTCAATTCAGAGAAAGCAATCTAATTTTCCATTGAGTTAAAAATAATTTCTTCTCTAATATGTTGACTCTTCTTGCTTTTCACATGTTTTCAAGTCAACATTATGTTGGTGTGTTTACAGAAACTGTCTTGAAGAAACCTAATAGTTCTTATTAATATTTATCCAAATTTCTAACCAAAATTCTCATTTAATGAATACATAGCAATGAAAATAGTTAAATTACACGAGTTTCCTTCATTAATGGATGATTGCTGTGCTTTGTTAAATCAAGAATGGCCTCGAAGCAAAGCAGCTCGTCTTCATTCTTTATCCAAATCAAAAGATTCCTATCCAATGTGTTTGTGTTTACTTGATGATGTCGGTGATGGTGGAGATGACATGAATACAAATGCTGCAAACCCAAGGGGTAAATTGATTGGCCATGTTAAGGTGAGTCGTGGTATCACTGATGGCGAAGCATACATTGAAAGTTTGATCATAGATAAGTCAAGACGAGGACAAGGTGTGGGTCGAAAGTTCATGTCATCAATTGAAAAATTACTTGAATCTTATGGTTTTTCGTCAATCTCATTGCATACCATCGATGCTTCCTCCTTTTATCAAAAGCTTGGGTACATCATCGTTGAAACCATTGAAGCTTTAGGACCAGCTAATCAATCTATTGCTACCAGCCAATCTGCTGCAAAAACTCATGGTAAACCTAATATTTCAGAGGAAGCCTCATCATCAGCCGTTCCTGTCTTTCCACCACCACCTCCACTACCACTAGGATTACCATTGATTAATAGACCTTTAATAAAACAAGAGAAAATTGTAATGAAGAAAACATTGAGATGAATATAAATGATCAGCTGTTGATACTCAAACCCTTTAATAAGCATTATTCTTACAGGATTAGCGGCTAGATAATCATTTTGGTTAATTCAAGATTAAAAATCCTATGAATTAATAGTAACCAATTTTTATTTAATTAAAATTATTCTTTGCCCTATTTTTGTGAAATCTGAGAAATTTTTGTATGATTAAATAGATCTACGTTTCGATAAATTATCAACTATAATAAGTCGGCAACAAGAAGCAACATTTCAGCTAAAAATGAAGTTTATTAATAATTTTTAATAAAAGCTAAAAACCTTCGAATTATTAAGTTCACTTCTTTGGAAGAAACTATCTTTAACTATTTGATGCAATCGAAGACTTGTGTCCCTTGAGCTTACTCATCATCAATATAATTAAATCATTGTATTGAGTTAAAATGGTTCTATTGACATTTTGAGCAGAGATAATTTGCTCATAATTGAAAGATTTGTATTCAAATTTTACTCATTATTTTTTTGCAGCTCGCATGAAATTTTGAGTTCACCCGCTAAGTCTGAAATATAGTTTGAAGGGCACTAATAAAGGAGCCTTTTAGATTTGTATTTTAAAACATTTATCTCGCCCACCTAATATTATAATTTATTCTGGTGATGAACCTTTCAAATGAAATATCATTCAGTTCAACGAACCAAACATTTTGGTTTGCTTACCATGGAAGCAACAGTTTTTCTTAAAAGTAAGTTTTTACTTTAAATATTATGGTGTTTTGCATTTCATTTCTTGAAATTTACTTTTGGTATACAAGTTAATAATTAACGTTAACTGACTGATTTGTTCAAAGTCCAGTCAATTCTGTTTTTGTCTGGCTAACCACTGTACATTGCAACTTTACTATCCACCATCTCAACTTGTTACATCTGTTCCTCATCAAATTGGATATAACTTTTTTACTTCACCTATCTTTAACTATTATTTATTTTCCCTTTCAATTACCCCATCAATTAGTAAACATTAGTGCGAATCTAAAAGCAAAAATCTCAAGAGTCTGTGCTATTGGTATCTAATAATTATTTTAAGTGACTCCTTCTTTTTTACCAACACCACCGCCAACATCAACAAAACAACATAAACATCCACAGAAGATAGCAATAATATTTCCGACTGGTCATACAGATCGATTTTTATACTTTAACTGTTTGATTTATTTACATCTTTAATCTACTTTGGTGAGAAGAGTATATGTGATCAATTGCTTTCATACATCAGAACATCAACCAGGTGATTTCCACTCCTATTTAAGGTATTTTGTGTTATTTACGTTATGCTAATATTTTTCTATGTTGCTGTTTGTCAGTCATTTCATAGGTGATGCATGAATCAAATATAAAAGCTACATCTGGACCTTCAGCAGCCACATCATCTCGATCTGGCGCTACATCAAAAGGATCTTTTCATGTTAATTTCAACATTGATCAAAATGAAATAACTGAAAGAAAACAAAATTATCTCACTGCAAAGTATGGACAACATCAGATGAATTTGATAAAGAAAAGACTAAGAGTGGAAATGTGGATATGTGAACAGTTACAGGTTCTTTATTCAACAAATGTAAGCTATCTGTAGAAATCTCAGAATTGTCAGTAATCAAAATATTATTTGTACTCTATAAACAGGATGGATCCGAATCAAATGATGTTGAGATTGATTTGGATGAACTTCTGGACGTGGAAGGAGATGACTTGAGACGAGAATGGCTTAAAGTAAATATAAGTTCAATACCAAAAATGTTTTCTAAGCATTGAATCCTTGATTTATCTGCCAAATTTGTTTTGATCTGCACCTTGTTATTTTTTTATTAACCTTACAATCATATACTTGCAGGCAAGATTGAATGGTGCTAAAAAACCAATGGTTGTGATAGAGAAATTTATCGATGAAGTTTTGGAGAAAGCAAAGACATTATGATGATTGATTGTCTCTTACATAATCAAAGTAGTCGTTCTCCAGCCCGGATCAATATTTTTTTGTTTAAATTAATGTTAATTCATACTAAAATAATCTAATGTAAAATCATAATATGTACTTGCCTAAATAACCAATTTGTCCATCGAGAAAAAAATACTTAATATAACCGTGTCAAACTTCAAAAATAACTTTCAATTACAATAAAATAATTATTATTGCAGATTATTCGTACCATGAACTAACGTCTTTCGTTTATTTGATTACAATTCAGAAGAAAAGAAACGGTCTTTTTACTGCAATTGATTAATTGATATTTTAGCAATATGACTCAAGCTGTTACATATTGATTTAACCAGAGCTGATTGTTAGTGAGCGCGAATCAGTAGACTCTGTTGATCCGATATCCTTAAGTAGACAATGGTTAGAAGTTCAAAAACTACGGAAAAAAATGAAACGAAAAATTGATACTAGAGCATCGAAAGGACGTAGAATAAGGTATAAAGTTCATCAACCATTAATTAGTTTCATGGCTCCAATTGAGGATGGAAATTATGAAGACTCTGCTAAAGATAAATTATTTGCTTCATTATTTGCTCAAAGAAAAGTCCAAGAAACATGATTATGTTAAACATATGAAGAGTGTTATTTTGTCCAATAAAAAATTTTGTTGAGAAAGTGATTTGAATACATATTTATTTTAATTACAAAAAGTAAGATACGTATTAATCGACAGCCATTGAATCATCAGCAACTGCAGGATCAGCAGGACGTGGTTCTCCCGGTTGAGCATCCATTCCTTCTGGTGCATCAGCTTGACCTCCAGCTTCTCCACCACCACTTGGATCACTAGTTCCAGCTCCTCGGCCTTTCTTTTCAGCCTCAGATAGTAAATCAAGCCATTGAGTAACTTTCTCATCATCATAAACATTAAAATCTTGTCCTTTACCAACAATAGCGATAGAAACATTTCTAACATTTAACTCTAAATCATTAGGTAAACATTCACGTAAGGCTAGTAATCCATGGCGTATGAGCTCATTCAAATTTGATTCAGCAAACTTTTCTAAATTTTTCTCTAAGTAAGTGCGTGAAGATTGTGATCGTGCTCCAATAGCCATAGCTTTACAATCAAAATAATTTGCAGAAGGACAAGTTTGATGAATATGTGGTCCACTATCATCATAGCCAGCAATCAACAAACCAACACCATATGGACGTCTATCGTACCTTTGGGTTGAACTTTGCATCTTATTTCCCAAGATTTCAACTAAAAGAGATGGATAAATAAATAAATGAGAAAAATCATCAATTGTCATACATCATATAATAATCGATTAACCGTTAACTAACCTAATCTCTTAATTGGCAAACAAGTTTCATGGGAATATCGTTCATTGATACATTCATTTCTCATAAATCTTGACAAAACCCGTGCATCAGCTGTTAAACCGGCAATTGATATTCCGACATGATTGTCAATTGGAATAATCTTTTTTTGATGAGCACTTAATTCGGATGTGCTTCGTTTAAGTGCCAATAGTATAGCATGAGTTGAATTCTTCAATCCGATTGTAGCAGATCCTTGTTTAACAGCTTCCATTGCATATTCGACTTGATGAAGCCTTCCTTGTGGAGACCAAGTAGTAACATCATTGTCATACTGATTACGGAACATTTTTTCCTAGATTAATGATGAAAACTTGGTAATAAACAATTAATTTAGAGAATAAAAAATGTTACACAACACAGAATGAAATTTGTTTACTCACTAATCAGCCGGAAATTTTTCTGAAATTTATCATCAGATGGCAACGCTAACTGATAATAAATATTGATGAAAGAAAACAAGCGCTTAATTCAAATTGACATTATTCTTCAGCAGATTTAAAGTCAGTTTAATTACGTTTAGAGTTTAATTATATCTGAATATACATTTATTTTAATAAATAGCAATTAATTTAATTAGTGAAGATGAGAATTTAAGTTTGCTAAACATGTTTAAGATATAATTTGAAGATTGCGCTTGTTTTCTCAACATTTTAAGAATATTCTAGCCTAGCTGGCGTTGCCATCTGAAGGTAAATTTTAGAAAAATTTCCGGCTGCTGAATGAATTAACAGATTTATTTGTGCTGCTAAACTTAACTTTTGTGTCTTCAAATTTTTTATTCTCTAAATTAATTGTTTATTACCAAGTTTTCATCATTAATCTAGGAAAAAATGTTCCGTAATCAGTATGACAATGATGTTACTACTTGGTCTCCACAAGGAAGGCTTCATCAAGTCGAATATGCAATGGAAGCTGTTAAACAAGGATCTGCTACAATCGGATTGAAGAATTCAACTCATGCTATACTATTGGCACTTAAACGAAGCACATCCGAATTAAGTGCTCATCAAAAAAAGATTATTCCAATTGACAATCATGTCGGAATATCAATTGCCGGTTTAACAGCTGATGCACGGGTTTTGTCAAGATTTATGAGAAATGAATGTATCAATGAACGATATTCCCATGAAACTTGTTTGCCAATTAAGAGATTAGGTTAGTTAACGGTTAATCGATTATTATATGATGTATGACAATTGATGATTTTTCTCATTTATTTATTTATCCATCTCTTTTAGTTGAAATCTTGGGAAATAAGATGCAAAGTTCAACCCAAAGGTACGATAGACGTCCATATGGTGTTGGTTTGTTGATTGCTGGCTATGATGATAGTGGACCACATATTCATCAAACTTGTCCTTCTGCAAATTATTTTGATTGTAAAGCTATGGCTATTGGAGCACGATCACAATCTTCACGCACTTACTTAGAGAAAAATTTAGAAAAGTTTGCTGAATCAAATTTGAATGAGCTCATACGCCATGGATTACTAGCCTTACGTGAATGTTTACCTAATGATTTAGAGTTAAATGTTAGAAATGTTTCTATCGCTATTGTTGGTAAAGGACAAGATTTTAATGTTTATGATGATGAGAAAGTTACTCAATGGCTTGATTTACTATCTGAGGCTGAAAAGAAAGGCCGAGGAGCTGGAACTAGTGATCCAAGTGGTGGTGGAGAAGCTGGAGGTCAAGCTGATGCACCAGAAGGAATGGATGCTCAACCGGGAGAACCACGTCCTGCTGATCCTGCAGTTGCTGATGATTCAATGGCTGTCGATTAATACGTATCTTACTTTTTGTAATTAAAATAAATATGTATTCAAATCACTTTCTCAACAAAATTTTTTATTGGACAAAATAACACTCTTCATATGTTTAACATAATCATGTTTCTTGGACTTTTCTTTGAGCAAATAATGAAGCAAATAATTTATCTTTAGCAGAGTCTTCATAATTTCCATCCTCAATTGGAGCCATGAAACTAATTAATGGTTGATGAACTTTATACCTTATTCTACGTCCTTTCGATGCTCTAGTATCAATTTTTCGTTTCATTTTTTTCCGTAGTTTTTGAACTTCTAACCATTGTCTACTTAAGGATATCGGATCAACAGAGTCTACTGATGTTTTACTTTCAATAAGTTGTCTCAATAACTGTCCATAGAAATCGTCATCATCGAATATTTCACTGTCAATCACTTCTTGTTGATTTTTACCAGATTCGGGTTCATCAATTTCTTTATCAGCTGATTCTTCTTTACCAATTATTGTATACCCAGAGCGTTTCATTCTTGTCTTTTTGAGCAGTCTTTCACGATCACTAAGTATGTGGCTTATATTCTTAATGATTTCAGTTTCCTCTTCTGCGGCTTTTGAGTCGGATTTCGTAGCATAATTCGTTTTTTGCCACCACTCATTCATTATGGGATTAATGTCTGATATCAGCTTCTTGTGATCAGCATCTAATCGTTCTTCTACATCGTCATTCTCAACGGGGCTTTCCTGTGTCTTCAATAGATGTTGGAGATTATAGAAAGTTTCTAACAATTTTTTTTCTTCCTCCATAGCTCGAGTTTTCGCAGCTCCTAAAACATCTTCACCAGCATCTGAAAACTTATCAAAAATATCGTGTTGAGGTAATTTGTTTAAATTTATCAAAGCTTTCTGTAATTTAATTCTGCAATTGATGAGCATATCAAATACGACCAACTGATTTTTGACTGCCAATGCTTGAGCACGATTCTTCTCCTCTTCGTTATCTCCAATGTCACTTCCACTTCCATTATCATCTTCCTCTATTTCTGATTCGTCTTCAATATACTCGTCATTTTCATCCATTTTAAAACGAATTAAAAACAATCAAAATAGAAATAACACAAAAGATATAATAACTTTTGATACAAATTCGTTAAAGATTGATCACTTGTTTTATTATTGTTTACATGCTTTTGAACATCTGTAAAAGCAATGCTTTTAAAACAGTCAACTCTGTTAGTAAAACCATTCACAAGATGGCACTGGTAATGAGAATCTAATGAAAAATAAAATTCGGTTTTTCAAGTCGTTAGATGGCGCAGTGTGACCTTTACGCTTACAACGCCACCTTGTGCCTAAACTCATGTTCCTAAACCAAAGTGATGTGATGTTTACATTTTACTGTAATTGTTGGTTAGCTTCAGTTGTATTTGACTCTCCGCGTTACAAGAAGCGGTTTATTTGGTATTTTTCAGTTTCATGTCCTTGTATGTTTTCACTTTAATAATCATTGTGAATGTGTTAAATGCTTAGTAAAATGTCCAAATCGTGTTTATAATCATCGACTATTTGTAAATACTGTAATTTGTAAACATGTTATTTCGAATTTTGTTTCATTTTTTATTCATCTTTATTTCACAAGACTTTGTGAACCTCTTTTATAATTCCAATTTCTTAAGGAATAGTGATATAAGTGATTCGTCGAGGATTAATTTTTTATCATCTTGGATGGTTAGTGCTTTTTGTCCATCCAATTGTCGATGCAATGATAACAAACTGGAAGCTGTTTGTTCCAATGCTTCTCTCACCATCATACCGATCACATTGAATCCAAATATGAGGAAAATTCTCCTCAATTCAAATCAAATAGTTAAACTAAGTACTGATTCATTTAGTGTTTATCGTAATATTGAATCTCTCGACTTGTCCCATAATAAATTGGATACTTTAGAAGACTACTCTTTTAGAGGATTAAGTAAATTGAAGGTGAGTTTAACACAATTTTCCTATTCTTTTTACTTTTTTATTGAATGACAAATTAAGTGAATTTTCTGCAATTGAGTTTTGTTTAATATTTTATGCTGAGATCTATTCTGACTGATAATTAAGCTCTTAATTTGTTAATTTTTGATTCAAATTTCATTACCAAGACATAGCATAATCAATGCATGTCCAACCTCGATGAAAATTTGATTGGAAATCTTGTTTTGAAAAAATTTTAATTCCCTGTCTTCTATTTCTCCCTAGACGCTTCATCTAAATGGAAATAAACTTCTAGTTTTCACTAATTCCACATTCAATGGTCTTTCAGGATTGGAAGATCTTTACCTTAATGATAATTTATTATCTAATTTAAATGACTCCGTTTTCAAAGGGCTACTAAATCTGAAGCAACTAAATCTCAATCGAAACCGGTTGAATTATCTAGAACCTCGTGCTTTTGATGGTTTGAAAAATTTAAGGACACTTTTTTTAGTAAATAATTCACTAAATATGGATTATTCAAGTTTATCGAATGATCAGTTGTCTTCAACACCGTCAACCTTTAATTCTTCAAGCTTAAACTTGAGCGATATTCTTGTTGCACTTTCACCACGTTACTTACCCAACTTGATGGAATTGCATCTTGGTGGTAATAATTTTCCTTCTATAAAAAAAGAAAATTCTCCTTTCTTCAGTGGAATGGATCCATCTGAAAGTATAACTCCATCTGACTCTTCAGATTTCATGTTGGAACAAAGTGAAAGCAATAATCAGAATCATCATTATTCGCACGAAAGCTCAAAACGACGTGAATCACATGAATTAAAATTTTGGAGTAATTTGCAAGAATTATCTCTAGAAGGATGCTCAATCAGTTCAATTGAATCTGGAGCTCTAAATGGTTTACCCAAACTAACTACTTTAAGACTCAACAATAATAATTTTCAGGTAATTATTTGGTTAATTAATTTTTATGCCTTAATGACTATTTCAACTTACCTAAAAGGTTTAATTGATTAAATGAATTTCATGTTTTCTTACTTATAAATAGCAAGTGCCAAAGGATATTTTTTCAGATTTGGGTAAACTTGAGGTTCTTCAGATTGGAGGAAATCCTTTTACAACAATCAACTCAACATCATTTACCACTTTAACCAGTCTCAAAAGTCTTGATATAAGTCGTTGTCCTCATCTCAATGTAAGTTGTTGTTATTTCTTCTCATCCTTTTCTCACTTTTCCCTTTTCTATTTATCAAATCACTTACTTTTTCATCTCATCCAGTTAACTGACGATTCCAATTCGTTTAATTGTTGTTCTATTGTTTGCATTGTCATCACTTGAAATAACTTTCTCTGCTCTCTTTGATCATTTTACTCTTCCATTAACCATCATCAACAATCAACGTCTACTCTTTTCCTTTCCATAGATTACTTTTCGTTTTTCTCCTCTCTTATGAATTAAACTTATTTGTTGTGAACAACTGATTAACAGGGGACAGAAGGGATAAAAGAAGATGATGAGGATGAGAATGACAAAAGAAGTTAACTCCTTTTCTTTATGCTGACTATTGAATGCAGTTTCAGTATAAAGCTTATCTTGTTCGCTTATTCGCTATTGTGTCCGATTTCTTGTTTCTCAGCATCAATCTGTTTGTGTATATGGTAATCATGCTCATAATTAATCCTTAATCAATAATATTTTATGATAAATCAGACAAGCTATTTTAAATGTATAAATTACAATTTATCTTTTCAGGCACAGATAAACATTTTTTATTTTCAAGTTTTAACTGTTTTCATGGTCGTAGTAATCGGTTTACACTCACACTTTAATTGTTATTATCATCATTATCATGTTATTGTTGCTATGTAATGTTGAAAAAGATAAATCTCTACTCAAATATTAGTTATTTAATCGCTCAATCGGATTAAATTTTCAACTTTTGTTCAGTATTTTCACATTGTTCGTACACTTTGAAAGGATTAGATGCTAAGAGTTCTAATTCAATTTCAGATTAATTTGATTGGCTCTTCAATTGATGTGACAATGTTTCTTCTCTATTCAAATCCTTTCGCTTATTTTCACACTTTATTTCATTCTCATTCAACTAACAATCAATTATCATCATTAGACCTCTCTTCAGTTTCTCTTCCCATGCAAGGTATTAATATTGTCGATTTGTTTCGTTTTTCGTTTCCGTTTCCTAAAAGCTCTTTCAATAATTTCTCACACATTTCGCAAATTCAATCTTCCAGCTTGGATGAAAATATCCTTTTATGTACTCCCATTGATAAAAGTATCAAAAAATAACAAAAGCATAGTAGTTAATGATATTGACCATATAACCTGGTTTCCTTATCAGTAGGTTTGATTGAGTTATTGTTGTACATGAACTATATGTGTTTTAAATATTGATTATTTCATATCACGCGATCAGATGAAAGAGTTATCGTTAGGGTTGAATAAAGGTGAATCAAATTGGATCACTGAATATCATACTTGAGAATAAAGGAGGACCTGCAAAATCGCCTGTTCTCGATTTTTTTTGAAATGGTACTTTTCAGACATAAAATTCAATGCCAATTCCATAAATCAAATCTATTTTTTTATATCATGCATAGTTTTTGAGATATCGGCCAAAATATCTAAATATCACATAGTATTAGTGACCTTTTAAACATAATGAAGATGCCGTCTAAGCCAGCTAAATATTGACATAATCAATGTAATTGAGCATGTTGAATAATATGGTGATGGTTTGGTTCCTCGAAAAATAGCCAAACAGGGTTAAAATTGTAAAAAACTGAATTTGAACAGGGATTAATGAGCGTCTTTTTGAAAATATTTAAAAAGCCGTCTAAGCCAGCTAATTCTTGACAAAAATAATGTATTCGAGCGTGTTGAATCTATTGGTGGTTGTAGCTTTGAAAAAATAGCCAAACAGATTGAAAATCGCAGAAAACTGGATTTCGTTAAATTTTACAAATGTCAATGCAACACCCTGTTTGGCTATTTTTTCAGGAACCAAACCATCACCATATTATTCAGCACGCTCGAATACATTTATTTTGCCAAGAACTAGCTGGCTTAGACGGCTTTTTCATTATTTTCAAAAAGACGCTCATTAATCCCTGTTCAAATTCAGTTTTTTACAATTTTAACCCTGTTTGGCTATTTTTCCAGGAACCAAACCATCACCATATTATTCAACATGCTCGATTACATTGATTATGTCAAAATTTAGCTGGCTTAGACGGCATCTTCGTAATTTTTAAAAGGTCACTAATAAATCGATATTTTATCTGTTTTTTTGCAATTTTGACCCTGTTTGGCGATTTTTTCAGTGGCCAAACCTTCACTATATTATTCAGTACCCTTGATAACATAAACCACGAATAGAATCGACTGGCTTAGCGACCTCTTTTAACGAGCTAAAAAATGCAACCTTCGAATCATAATATGAACTTTCTTTTCGAATGCGTTGTCTTAGCAAAAAAAGAAACAGATATTCGGAATCAGCATAAAAAATTACATTGAAAAAAGTTCATTTCATCAAAATATCCTAAGAGGAGATTTTCCCTATCCATTTGCAGGTCCTCCTTTAATAAATTAATTATGATGAAGCTTCTTCACACAATTAATTGTTAGTATCGATTACAAAACGGGAGCAAAATATTGCCTCTTAAAACAATTAAACAGACAATTAGATTTATGAATCTTATCAATTTTGTTACTTTCAAGTTTAATGATTTAAAATGAACGAAAAATGCGAAAAAAGCAGAATAAATTTACTTTTTCAATCAATTTAATCAACACTGATAACTTATTGCATGTTAATTGTTATGTAAAATCATAATTTATATAAATTGTAAAATAATATTGAATATGAGAAATATTACCTCACCTTTACAGTTTTTATTATTAATTAACCCTTGAAGCAATTGTTTTTACATCATTACCTGGTCATGGATTGATGATCTTTTTCCCTGATCATTTTAACCAGCAATAAATGCTATCAGTTGAAATTCCGAAAGGCCAAGAGCACAGATCGCTCAAGGCAGCAATTAGGTTTGGTCACAACCTTCATTTGCTCTCTCGACGATTCTTGATAAAGTAATTAATTTTTTCCAATAACTAGATTAAAATTTCTCTTTACAATTCATAAATTGTTCATAAATTTTATTTGAATTACCATTATTTTGAATAATGTATCAATCGAGAATTAAATTAGATTACATTTGACATTGTAAAATTTAATATTCATTATAGCATACTTTTCATCATTTTTAAATTAATTTCTGCTTCCATTTAAATTGCAAAACTAAAAGAGGAACCGACTGATGGAACATCAACTTTTTCAATCTTTTGTAACATCATTTTACATCGCCTGAAGAATGCATCAAACCTTTGTGTTTAGGCCTAATTGTCTTACTCATTTGTCAGTATTTCATGTTGAACCTTTCAACTGGTTAGTTGATTGTCAAATAACTAATGGTGAATAATGAATAACTTGTCAAATGGCTGTTAATTTCTGCTTTCAATCCGACAATGTTGATATCTATGTTTGACTTTGTGTCATTTCATCAATTTAACCCTTGAGATAACAAAATTTATTTTTGTAAATCTTTCTTTTAGCGGCAAAACAAGCATATCTTTACCGGTTAGTCTAACAATCTGTTGTTCAATTGTCCTGTTAATCAGACAATTAAAGTCATTGGATGCGTCAATTTGTTATCTCAACGGTTAGTTCAAAAGATATTTTTTGAAATATAAAAATCTCTAACCAACTTTTAATGTCATTAGTCAATCAATTTTACCGTTTGCATTGATATTTAAATCGCATTTAGTTGCTATCGCTTTCTCGCTTTTTATGTACAATACCTGACGATGACTAAGTGACTTTTGAGTAAGATAAAGTTGCTTTATATCCATCATTATCATCAATTTGATTTACTGGTTTTCAGTTGACTATCTACTCAGAGGATTGGATATAATTCTAAATCTCAGTCAAATCTTTTCTAGATTTCCATTCAACTGAAAATTGATCCCATGGAACAGTATTTTATTCTGAGCATCAATGAATTCTGAATAAAGGGAAAAAGAATTTTTATATTTGCATTGAAAAACGCAGTAAAGTAACTCATCTCTACATTTTCCTCTTTTTTCTTTCATATCTTTTATGCTTGACAATTGATTTTCAATATTTTTGTATAAACATACATTACATATTCAATTATATTAACATAAAAATTGCTTAACTAAACGCAAACGATTCCGTTTACTCAAAAAATTCAATTTTTAATGACAAAAATTTCAATTTTGTTTCTATAAACTTCAAGTAAATTTAATATAAAAATCAATACTCAGCTCCTGATTGTATTGAGTGATAACACTATTACTAACTGTTTGCTGATTAGGAAAAAGACGAAAAAATGATCCCTTCCCATATTTTATATTTCACTATCTCCATCATCTGCATCATTAATAATACAATTTTTGGTAAAAAGTTGGATCCAAGTGAAGAGGCGTTTGGTGTTAACTTGGTCTACTGTTGAGATACAAATAAGATCTCAACTTGATCTTAACTTCTGAAAAAAGCAAATTAATGTAACTAAGGTTTGGCCAATGAAGTTGGTGATCGAGAGTTGCAATTGTTATAATGATTTTTATTAGCATTTTTCAATCTTTCTCATCCCATGTTGGGTGCAGCAACCATCAGCATCCTTTACTTTTTTATGAATCATCGGCCTCATCGTCTTGTAACCTCAGTAATGAAAACATTAAGAAAGTTCAATGATTAATCAGAAGCTTTCACTACTTGTTATTAACATTTTCACCCAATTTAAAATGTTTATGATAATCCTGCTCACTGTTATTGGCTTGGAGATTGCAATCGATGATGTGGTTTCCAATTATTTTTGAATTTTAAATTATTTGACATTTTTGGTGCAAAAATTTGTTAATTAATTGATGCGCCATCGAGCGTTCAATTGAGCGCAATAATGATGTGATGAGCTTGCTACTTATAATCAATTGAAGTAGACCGAGCTGATCATAACTTTGATGGAAAAATGGATTAATTCAGAACGTTCTTATTATACGTTATCAGAGTTATCAAGTAAATTTTATTAACTTCACCAAAATTTGATGAATAAAGTTTATTAAGGAAGATGGAAAAGATGATGATGAGATGAAAT